ATGTTAGGCCAACAGTTTAAGCAAGCTATCTTTAGTTAACAGACTGTTTATTGCTTGCTGATTGCTCTGTCTGTAGGGTTTTTATTATAGTTAGCTATTCACACTTCGGCTAACGTTAGCTGACATTAACTTTGTGTTCCAGTTCAAGACACCAGGATTGTTTTTAATATTGTGCAAATAAAGGTTGACACACACATACAGTAACTTTACTCACACTCTAGTTGTTGTCCATCTCGTCCTTCAATCGTGTGTCCTAGAAATGTGGTCCTTTGTCATCCAGTTCGTTAGGTTGCAGTGTCACGAAGAACTAGGGTCCTACAAATGGGGTCCTACAAATGGGGTCCTAGAATTGCGGCCCTGAAAGTGCAGCTACATGGTAGGGGAATCCAACCAAATGGCAGCCATTAAAGTCCAGCTGAAATGAAAAACGACTTTTTAACACTGATGAATTGCATCCTCAGTCATAGTGTACCCTTATTTAACAATGTATGCCCAAAGAAATATTTTTGATTTGAATATACAATCCTTTTGTCTTGATTTTGTCTTTATTGGCTGAACTAACGAATTTCAGCCAATAATACGACACCATTCGCCCATCAATCAACAATGAACATTATTTAGCTTGCTAGCTACCAAAGTGTTTTGGGGGGGCGCAACCTCACTGATTACCGTACAAGAACACAACTTTATCAGTGATTTGGGTGAAAAATATTGTCTGGATTTCCCTGTGATGTCCTCTGGCTGCTCTTCCTCAACTCCACTAACTGCTAATGTAGCTGCCGTAAGCGTGCAACTGAACTGAAAAAGAATAATAATAATGGAAAAGAGTTTCAGCATTATTACTGCTACTATTCTAAATAATGAGGAAGTTAACAAACATTGTTAAAACTCTACATACCAAAAATAGACACCGAAGACACATTTATATAATCATTTGCTCATTGACACAGCAATGACACAACACAAAATCCGGAGCTTGAGAACATGTTTAAAGTTATTTTAAAATACACCAGGAACACCGTCTGCACAATAAAATAACAAGAAGTTGACCTTGTCGGGTCACTGGACTGAACAAAAACTGCTTTCACCAGGACTATCTGTTTATTTTGACATATTTCTCAGTTCTGCATCTCAGAAGGGAAACAAATAGAGCACGAGCAGCACTCAGCAGATCTGACACTGATGGCTTTATTATGAGAAATGGCTGGAAATTGGTACCGGACATAAAAGTGACCCCGCTAACAGTGATGTCAGTATCATATCTCTACTACCTGAACTTTTCCAACTGTTTTTCCGAGCATGGACGCATGTTGAATATTATAAATGGTTACTTTTGGGATCAGGGTCCTGGGAATTCTGTGTAAAGTTCAGTCCTCATAGAGCCCGCTCTAAGCTGAGGAATGACTTTTAGACTGAAGTTTCTTGTGCTCCCTGTTTGGAGTCTCCAGGTCATGCAGGTCTGCTTAGATAAAGTGCTGTTGTTGGGATGCATGCAGTGTTGAGCCATAGCAGACTGATTAATGCCTGTGAGCACAGGCAGAAATACCCTCTCAATCCCAATTTCACTTAAGAGGATTTTCAAAGGGGTGGAGCACTTTTTCATGCCTGTGAGCATTGCTTCATTGCTTCTTTGTGGGTTTTCTTGGAGGGGAGGGACAAACATTTGAACCTGTGCAAAATGAGCATAAGAAAATCGGGGGGCACAGGGTTGTTAACACAAAGTCAAGGTCTGTTCGGACTCAAGTGCCCTTAACAAAAGCCATTTTCCCTTTATGGATAATTGTGTTTTGGGCTGTTCAGGATTTTATTTCTCTGACGTTAATCTGCACTCTGCCTTCATCTGCCTCCCTGACCTCTACCTCACCTCTGCTTCTTTGTGTCATCATTATGTTGTTGTTGTTTTTTGTTTGTTTCTTTTTTTAAATCAAAGCTCATACATGACACCTTCTTTTTCAGATGTATCATTAAAAAGCAACTTCCTGTTGTTGATTTTTCTTTTCTGTACATACTTTTTTCTGCTATTCAATATGCTGACGCAGAGACAAATTGGTTCAAACACCAGAAGTCAATGAAATGGATAGACCTCAGAGAGTATCTGCTTGGCAGAGATAAAGATTTTCTTTAGCTCGTTTTTCACGAGGCAGTAATCAAGATGATTTGCATCCTTTGCTGGAGGATCCATATGTCCACTCTGTGCTATTCAGTGGAGCTGTCAGTCAGCACTGAGAAGAGCAACTTCTCTTTTATGATATTGTCGACAGAAATTGGTCCGTTAGTTTAGGAAATCCATCAGAGCTGCACCATGAAAATGTCAAACCCTACTCTTGATTGACTAGTGAAGCCATCAAGAGACAGTGAACAGGCAGAAATTGAATACAATATTCATAGTTTTAACACCTAGAATATATTTTTGTTACCTTAGCTGTTTTATCTACAGAGGGAGTGGGTCCTTTTCTACGTGATCTGCCATGTTGAATCACTATGTTTCTATAGCAACCCAGAACAGACAGACCAAACACCGTCTCTAGATAATTTTCACGGCCTAACCTAACCTAGTTTCTCCTACACACTTAGAAGGGGAGGGTGGACGCACACTATTGTATTTAATACCATTGAATGCATTAAGATTTCCCGTATTTGAACTGTATGGGCCATGCCCATTCCACATTAATGATCCCCTCCAGACATGTATTAAGACATATATATATATATATATATATATATATATATATAGTCTTTTTGGAACAATAAGATGTGTCTGATATGTTTTTTTCCACCCAAAAGTATAATTTACACATTAAAAAGGCATTTTTTCATTCTACATCATGAAAAATTCAGAATCTATAAATATGCTAATTTTGGTGGAGCCTTTAATAATAGGCTGATTTACTCTGAAGAAATCAAATACAGTATATTAGATCAAGGCATCAATCACTGCATGACAATGTCTGCCAGTTTTCTGTCAGTTTGTCCGACATTTTGGTCCAGAGTAAGATAACTAGATATATGTCAGCAGCTAGTGGACACATTGGCATGCAATTGGATTTGGATATGCCTGTTCCCTGGAGGATGTTTCCTGGTGGCTTAGTTAGGCATACTCACACTCTCATGAAATAAAATCTTTAGATTCTTGTAATCCTGTGACCTTTGTACTAGCCCCACCCTGAGAGATGAATGTAATTGTTGAAGCTTCAGATTTTCAGTCTTGTTAACATATCGATGCACATCCAGACAGGGTAGTCCCTAAAAATGACATTTCATGAATTTCCTGTAAAGAAATGTCAAAACCTAGACAATTGCTGTGCAGGTATATTTTTAGATATGTCATAATTCTCAAGGATTCCTGAGTTCAAAATTGAAATGTATAATGATGACATCCTGGGAAAGAAACAATTGGCGCTGATGCATTTGAATGCTGATGTGTTTGCACATCTGTTTAGAACATGTCACTGTGAATGACGACACTGCCTTCCTCACACATGACATTCTCTGCACTAAACATTTGCAGAGACCTGTGGCTATTCATCAACTTGTCAGCAGCAGCAGACATCCATCATCCACTTTCATTCTGTGTGTCTCTCTCTCTCTCTCTCTCTCACTCACACACACACACACACACACACACACGACAGACCATGCGGGTACTGAGGAGGTTCCTTCAGGCTGACACATTGCCTGGGCTCTGGGGAGATTGCATGGGTATGTGTGAAGGATGAGGCCACTAACCATCTCTGTATTGTTGTTTTTATTTCCTCCAGCCAAAGTTGTGTTTTCTTTCATATTCGAACAGGAAATGTTTGAAAATGGGATAAAATGCTGATGCCAGCGTATGGCCTATTTCAGGTTTGAGTACAGCACTAAAGCTTGGCAGGCTCTGGGTGCGCATTATTCATTTTTCATGTTATTTTAATTTTATAAAAAAAGTCTCAGCAAGCTTTTTGGAGTCGGGCTAATTTGTTGCTGACTTTCAGAGGGAAAGTAGCAACTGGAGCAAGTGGAGATTAGAACAAAAAGATAACCAAAATGTAGTGAAACTTAAATTATGAAACATAGTAACTATCAAAGTTAATGGGCTCATGAATATTAACAATCTCTGTTAAAGAGAAATATACTGCAGTAGCACACTATTTACTGTCTACCAACCTTGTTGAACTGTAAGTATTCATCTATTATCTCTTTTACCCTTGTTTTTATATGTTTTGTTTTGTTTTATGTTGTCCATTTCATTATAGCACATTATTTTGTAATGTTATGTAGAAAAGTGTCATAGGGTGTCCCAGTGACGGGGGGATTTAAGTAGCTGACCATGTAATTGCAATGTCCCTGGTTCATGTGAGTGAAATCTTTATAAATGGACCTTGAGATGAGAATTATATTTTTTCATATCTCACTCATATTGTGACATTGCCTGTGGTATATATGATTAAGAAACACTATTCCCTTTACAACCGCTCCCTTTCTGCCTGCAGCTGGCCTCTTCCTGCAGGAGCTTGCAGTCAGGAATGTAAACAGGACATAAATAGTTATGTTTGTTTATTTCTAATAAAATATTCAATTGGCACTTTACCCTGACTCCCCTCCCCTATTTGTTACACGCCTTGAACTATTCCTATATTTGTGAATGTAATTTGACAAGGTTTATATAGCCAAAGTTATAATCAAAAGTCAGTAATGGTAATTGCTTGTTATTATTATTATTATTATTATTATTATTAGTCTATTAAAAACTCTAAAAGAATTTAGAGAGAAATTAACAACTTTAACGAAAGAATAATAACATTACAATTCAAGTATAGTATAAGAAAATAATAAAAAATGTAAATAAATATGTAGGCTACATAAATAAAATATATTTATACAATTTTGTCTTTAAAATAAATAATTATTTGGTACAGAAATCAAACCAATGACAATATATTTATATATATTATAAGTCAAACATCGGACAGTGTTTTTTTTTTTTCTGTGTTGCTGATGAGAGGTGGTCTTTACCCACAATGCACAGCGAAACAGCCACGTAAACGTACAGAGCCCTCCCCGCTAGCTTCCTCTGCTCTCTGCTCTTATATAGCTGCAAAACACAGACGTCCCCATGATGCTACACTCGTTTACCAGGTATTACATACGCAACTAACTCAGTCTGTCAGACATATGTGTTTTGTTTAGGTTGGCTAATAGCTTTACCTTGAGTTGTGGGTGTGCTAAGCAGCTAACGTTAGCTGTTAGCTCCCTAGTCCGCTAACGTTAGCTGGAAGGAGATGCTGGTGAACATGCTAATGTGGTTAGCTGCTAACAGTGGCTAGCGTGCTAACTTAGCTATCTGGCTAGCTTTCCTCTAATGCAAACCAGCCGCTCGTATCCTTTTAATGTTATAAGAAAACGGTCGATATCGACGAACTTGTAGGCCATGAGCCAAGTGTTCGGTTGACTTTGATGAAAATAAACCCACTTATTAACATTACTCCTGAGCTAACGACCCACCGCTAATAAGGTTTAGCCAGCTAGCCCTCTGCCAGACCGTCGTCGTGGTGTATTACCGTTATGTTACTTCATTAAATCCGGTAGTAGCTAATGTTAACCACCGGAGTTTGGGTTGAAGCTATGAAAGCTTTTCCACTACTGCGGTGAAAACAAGCTTCCTCTCAACGCCCCGTCGTTCAGTGTGTGGAGCTGTCCGTGGTCCTAACACAGCCGACCACACACCCACCGACAGGTACCTTGGTAATGCTGCTCGGAGTAGCAGAGGCTCTTAAACACTTTCATTGTGCCACCGACATTTAAATGTAGTGTGCCCCAGCGACCCAACCTCATGTATGTATAACTAACCAACATAAAGTCTGTGTTTGTCTGTTGTCATTAAGGTATAGCCTTGATTTAAAACCTCATGTACAGGACTAAAGTACATTAGCGTGTTCCGTTTTCAATCTAACATTACAAAGCTGTGAGTGAGATTGCTAACTAACCAACTGTAAGAGAAAAAGTCTCACTGTTCTGCAGGCGTGAAAACACCTCTGGAGTAAACCGCACCTCACATGTGCTCTCCCTTTTCAAAACACTTTCTTCTGAAGTTTTCTGCTTTGTTCTGAAAGGAACTCCCTCACCATTCCCTTGTACGCTTGGATGTGTTGCATGTGGGTGTCGAATAATTTATTGACTTCAGAGCCTTCTTTACCTACAAAGCATCCTGCGTCTGCTTCTTGCAAGTGCTGTGACAACGCCATATAAAAGATATTCGTCTTTGTATTGATGTTAGACACAACCACGGGTTGAAGTATGCTTGGTTGGGGACACTTTGACTCAAGGACAAGAGTGCCAAGATCATATGGATGTTGAGGAAATGTCAGAATTGCAAAACACATGTAGGGTACATGTGAAAAAGCACATAAGCAATATTAGCAGATAACAGTGAATGTAAGATTACAATATAAATATACATAGTAAGATATTATGGTGGGACTCACCCATAATGGGGTGTAAATAATAGGGTTGCTGCACATTTATTGCTAAAATGCTAAGATAAACTATTGAATATTTCATGCTGGTTAATAAGAGAATGAGCTGTGTGACTGCTCAAGCCTTTTTGAGTGAGCAATACAGTAAGGTTAGCAGTTATTGCAGCTTCACAATAATTGGTATTATCCATACAGAAAAATAAACAGTGCCTGTCTGTTTTGCAGGGCTTCAGTGAGATTGCCAGAGCTGTAAGATGTCGATGGTGTTGTTCGCCTCCGTGGTTCGGGTCGGGGACGGCCTTCCTCTCTCTGCATCCACTGACTATGAGCAGGACAAAGAGCTTCAGGAAACCAAGAAGCATCTCAAAGGTCTCTCCAAGAAACTCAGCCAGTTCCCTGACCGCTGCACACTGAAGACTGGACCTTATAATGTCAAGTAGGTCATCTAGGATTTGAAATTGCCAATGTTTGTAAATTTTAAAGGGACCCTTTACTTCCAAACCATGCATTAATTAAACACCCATTATAAACCAAGTATATCAAATACCCTGTTAAATGCAGATAACTGTTTGTACGTGCTAGATAACATCAGTGTTTGTGTGACTACTGAATTCATTCACTTAACATATTTTCAATTCATGGTAGTTTCATAGGTCAGTTTAGAGATATAACTTTAGAAATTTAGATAATTTTCTATTGACACCCATGGGTGATTAAACAATCTACTGCTGACAGCTTTCCTGCCCTTCACTTGACCCCCCCCAACACAACCTTAATGGAAAACTTCTTTTTAATTTGAGTGATTTGCCAGCTAGGCCTTCATTTGAGGTGTCAGAATCCTTCTAAAAGCCCCGCTGGTGCTTCGGGAAATGCTTTGAAACTCTCTCAAGCACTATTTGTTAAGAGCTAATTAGTCTTATTAAGACAGAGAACATGAGTTCAAAAGAAACTCAGAATTGGCTATTAATGAGCCAACTACACTATAGTCTCCCCTGATAAGAGTCTCTTTAATCAATGGGAGCCTGAAGCGTCTGAAGAAGAGAAGGTCAGAATGAGGCAGGTAGTGTTTAAAGTCACAGGTTAATCTATTATGTAATATACTGGGCCCTTTAGAGGCTCTTGTTATGTTTATTTCTGTGTTGTGATGCAGGAGGAGATTATTTGTATCACTTTGCATGAAAATAACTCTGTTGTAAACTGTATTATATCTGACTTTATTATGTTTATTTGGACATTTATAAGGATTTAGAATATAATGTCTCTCATAGGATTTAGGGACTTTCCACTGCTTTACATTTTATTGTATTTTAACATATTCATCCATCAGCAGTAATACTGGAGGACCAAATTTATTTTATCTTTTACTTAACAGTGAGTTTGTGATTTTCTGATCTCACAGGGCTTCAGACTAAGCGTTTACACTGGTGCACCTAACTGCTTCATTTACGTGCACCAGGACGTGATTTAGGTGCACCTACTAATACATTGTAACTCATTATGTAAATGACAAACATTTGAATTAAGTGATACATCAGATTAAATGAGTTAGACTTCTTGTTAAGTAAAGGCTAGGATTTGTGGTTGCTGTTTGTAAACGCATGATATGAAGTTGAAGTTGGAGAGAGAGAGAGCGAGAGTGAGTGTGAGCAGTGGTGGTTGAGTGACCAGGAGGAGAGGGATTGCCATTAAACAAAGCAGTGAATCAGAGAATTAAAAAGTTATTTTCTGAGTTTTACAGCAGTTATGTTAGAAATAAACATGGTAACACCTACGCAAAACAGTCGAAGCCAGGCTTCATCCTGTCTGCTGTGCTTGCATCTGTGCAGCACTATTTGTTACAGCTCTACAGAATGTTCCCCTCAGAAATGCTGCAGGAAGGGGGGGCTGATCTGCCAGCCACGCACCAGCTGTTGTATTAGATCTGCTGAATTTTAGGTGCACCATTGTGACCAATGAACATGTTTGGTTGTACTTGACAGATTTTTGGTCAGATGTGCCGAATCCAATTCATGATTCTTGTAATCAATATTAGAGCTCTGCATGGTCAGGCACCTGCATCAGTGAACTCATCCTGCCCTGTATCACTAGTAGGTGTCTGAGGTCTTCTGATCAAGACTTGATGGATGTTCCTCCCTGCAGGTGTAAAACTAAAGGAGACTGTACCTTTTTGAAGTTGTGGCTCCTACATTTTGAAATTCATTCCCTTTGACTGTTTGAATCTGGTTTCTTCTGTCTTTTATACTGAAGCACTTTGTGATGTCAGCTCTTGAAAGCTGTTGTCTAAATGAACTTTACTTACTTACTGCAGGTGTGATATTTAAGAGACACTCATATCAGTAATGACACAACCAACTTGATGTTGTGTGTACTAACTGTGAAGGGAGATTTGGTGTTTTTCCACCCGCCTCTCTTTGATATTTGTGCATTAGTCAGTTTGATTTCTCAGGCGCTGCAGCTACACAGTGACATACTGTTATCAGATTCAAACTCATTCTCCAGTTGTCTTCTTTTATGCTTTTTTTGTTTGTTTGTTTTTTCTGGCCACATGATAATCATCACATCACTCTTTTGTTCGTTGACATTTATGTTCCACATCAATTTAGATGTTGCTGTGATAACCGGCTTTCCCCTCAATTGTGCTCCGAGCTATTCAGATAATGTAGAAGTTTTTGTATCTGGGGAATTTAATTTGTGCTCTGTGTATCAATTAACACCGCAGGGCCAAAAGATGGAGTGTCTGCCTAGGTGCATGCAAATGTGAATATGGTATGGTCTTTAATTAGCGGTGAACATGTACGTTTTAGGCACAAATGTGCTGAAATAATGTTTTGTTCTGAGCAGCTGCCTGCAGAATCAGAAATGCCATTGTGTTTTTTTTTTTCTATAATCTGCACTGTATTTAGCTTGGTGTCCTAATTACAGTTTCCCAGTTTTTCTGTCAAAAGAAAAGGGTACAGTGCATGGAAAGCAATAATGTTTGTGTACGTGTGTGTGTATTTCAGTTTCACTAGTGCACTGGGTGTTGGATACCTGATGGTGTGCACTGCAAACTATCCCAATGTGCTGGCCTTCTGCTTCCTGGACGAGCTACAGAAGGAGTTTATCGTCACATACGACCCCAAGCGAATCAGCAATGCTGTGCGGCCATACTCCTTCATTGAATTTGGTGAGCTCCATGCAATTACAAGGGCAAGGGTAATAATAATAGAGGGATAAGATTCATCACGAAATAAGAAGGTGCACCCAATTTCTCTTAGAAAATTAGCTTCATGTTAATGAATGTTCTAATTCATGCTTTTTGTAGACTACAAATTGTTGCTTAACTTCCCATTATTGATATATATATATATATATATATATATATATATATATATTCCCTCTTACTGTATGTATTTAAAACACTGAACTGAACAAGGTATATTCTCCAGAGCTCAACAAAAGGTATTCTGGGAAATGTAACTGTAGCAAATGTAAAAAAGGCAGGTTTAGAGAAAGTGGTTGCACTAAAATATGAGAAACAACAAATAATTACAAAATGATTTTATGTAATTATCTAAAAAAACATTACAGTGTATCCTGCATCATTATTGCCATTTTTGATTAATCTCTGTAATATTTTCATGATTTATGTAATAATTGTTTAGTCTGTAAAATGTCCATTACGAGATCTCAAAGGCCCAGTGACCATCAAACGTTAGACAAACAATCTGAAACCCTTTTGTGATGATATGAAAACAGGGAAAAACAGCCAATCTTAAAACCAGAGAATGTTTGGCATATGAACTTTATAAATGATTTAAACGATTAATCAATCATCATCATCAGTCCATTAATTAATCAATCATTTTACAGATAATCCACAGTACCAAAGACTGAAATCTTGTTTTAACCCAGACAGAACGTCCCGCTCTCACATACAAATGATCTGTTTATCTCCCTCGTTTTGCCCCCTGTGTTATTCACCACCTTGTTGTTGTGCTCACTGTCATCCATCAGACACCTTCATCCAGAAGACCAAACAGCGCTACAACAGCCCACGTTCTCTGTCCACCAAGATCAACCTGGCTGACATGCAGACAGAGATCAAGCTGCGACCGCCCTACCAGCTCTCCCCTGAGGACCTGCGGGCTATCAATGGATTCTCAGTGCACACACCCTCTAAATACAAGGGCATAGGTAGGACATGAGCTTCTGTCACACACACATATACACACCGCATACATAACCCATCCAGCTATCAAAGAGGTGTGTTATTGTAATAGACTACCTACCTAATTTCCCCTCTGGGGATCAATATATAAAAGCGCTATCTCATCTCATCTTCCTCTCATTACTTGCCACTATTAACACTCGTAGCACTGGTCTTTGTAGGACCATGACATAGAAAGGTCACTGGTAATTTCCACAGAATTCTGGGTCCTTTACAACACCAGTGAAGGAATAATACTGGGTGCACCGTTGCCCCTGTCAGTTTCTTCATTCGACTTTTTGAGCTGTTTGGGATTTTAAAGCAGTCCATGTTAAACCTGTAAACTCTTCCACGTGCTTGTTATATTGTTTAAAGGTGCATTTTTAGTAGTTTAGTTTTTTTTTTTAAATCTCCTGTTTCTGCATTGTAGTGCATCAGCAAGAATCTTTTTGAATTACACTTTATTTTACTTGAATTGGTTGATAGATCACTTACAGTATCACATGAAAGAAATCTATCTTTCTGTAGACAGATATCTTGCTGAAATAACTTACTTTCACATCAAACTAAAAAATAACATTTCATTTTGAATTGTAAAGAGTTGGTGAAAATATTATTAAAAACAATACCAGAATGTATTTAAAGAATACCCTTTGCAGCACAAAATACTCTTATTTCAACATTTATTGTTTTAATAATACTTTTTAAGGAGCTAATTTTGGGATGTCTCCGTGTTTTTTTGACTTTCAATAACGTGTAATATTTTTGGACCATGGAGTGAACAGTGTGTTCCTGCCTACTTTTGGAAGATTGGCAACATCAAATCTGGATGAATATCAGTCTAACCTAAAATTTTCTTCTTTAATAAACTCCAGGGGCCAGACACATAAAACTGAGACATTCACGACTAAAATTGTATGTCAAAAACAAAGGCAGAAATATGCATACGCATTCTTATAGTCAGGTCTATGAAGCTGTGCCCCTGGTTCTGTTTTATACATCTCAATCATTGAGGAACTAGGGGACTGGGGAACTTAAGTCTCTTCACCTCTGCCATGTCTGCAGAGGTTGCTGGCTTTGGTTCTGGCACAACACCGGCTCCACTTCCCATCTGCATTCCCTGCTGGCTCCCCCTTCCCCCAGGCCGGAATCCTTCTCTTCCCGACTGTCAAAAGCTCCTTTGCTAGTGGAGTAAATATACCAACTCTCTCCTGGTGCTTTTAGCTCCCAGTCCAGGCAGCACAGACTGTGATAACTACCTTAGAGGGTAATTTACTTGAGCAAGGTGGGGCAGCTGAAGGACATTAGAGGGAAAACCAGAAAACATTTTCTCCATAAAATATGATCCAGTTTCACCAAAATCAGTGACATAGCTCGTGGTGTGTGATTACTGCCGTAAAGCGTGGGGATGACAGAGTCACCATTCACCCCATTACAAGTCAGTTTAGCATAAAAAATATATTTAAGCTGTTATTTTAAGGTAGAAAAGTTACATAATGAGGCTTTAAACAACTGTTTGCATGTCGATACTGCTGCCCACTCCACCACTCAGTAGACCTGTCAAGATATAATGAGTGGTAGACCTGAGATGAATGGCAAAGAAGGGCAACTTCACTGACTGTGTTGCATCAGCTAAGTTCTCCAACTGCGGCAGAACAGCTCTGATTATGGGTTTTTATAGCACTCATAACATTAATTAATCTCATGTACCTGTAAACCTTCATCCTGGAATATCTCAGTCAACGTTATTAAACATCAGAAATGAACATTAGTGTTTAATCCATAAAGTCCATATTCAAACAGACTTTGCAATGTGATTGATTGCATGAGTCTGTTTCAGTTTTAGTCTGATTCATGATAAAATGAAAAGAACATTAATTAGGGGATATAATGACTATAATGTAAATAAAAAGGATGATGAATTTGTCACTCAAAGAATTAAAATTAGGTTTATAAATGCGCCTTTTATTGGCATTTTACAGAGCGCTGTGTAGACTGAAAAAATGGCACTGAAGAAGGCAAACCACCTAAACTAATAATGTTTTACTATAAGGTTACAACTATTACATGATGTGTATGTAGTGTTTATACATCTAGTCCCAGGGTATTTTTTTGTTAAAATCTGTAGAAAAGTAAAACAAGTCTTAAGGATACTCTATGCCTGGTGGTCTGATATGCTTTGCTCAGTCAAACAGCTCCACTTGCTCCCTTCCCCTCACTTGCTCCAGAAAACAACCCTCCTGTACGCACCGTCACACCTCAGCTGCCCCAAGCTAAATGATGCCACCTTGGGTCACTTACAGCGGTTGTGTTCCCCCTGACATCCTCTTCAGGGCAGCTCTCCACGCTTTGTTCACTCTCTGTTGGTTGCCCTTGCCAGTCTCTGTTTTCTGAGAACATAAATCATTTTGTCCCGGAGGATGAAGTATGCTAATCTGATAATAGTGACGCATCACTCCTTTTACCTTGCCAGAATATTTTGGACAATGTATGCTTGGCTTATCATTTCTATTCAAGGATTTTTCCTTTTATCCTTCATTTTATAGTTTTTTATTACTAGTTACATTAATAAATTGCATATGTTTTGCTATCTACTTTGAAGCTCTTTTTTTCCTAAGGCTGTTGTATCTCATTTATCAAGGCAGATTGTGCTGAGTTTGTAATACCATGTCCTTTCTCTCTTCCAGCTCCCACGCAGATGTTGGAGCCAGTGACTCTCCCTGGCATAGTGTCCTGTGTGCTCAGTGTCCTCTGTGGAGGCCTGAACCTGCTGAGAGGAGTCCACGCAATAGAGAGCATACTACAGGTAAGGACATATAGGAGAGAACATTCAAACAGATTCTGTTTCTCTAAAAGTGAAATTCTGGATTCACACAACCTGGCTCTTATTTTCATAGTTTCAGCTGTTGGTCGTATTGGTAATAACAAAGTTAAGCAAATCCCTAAGATCTGGGAAAGCGGTGACAATGCTAAAAAGAAGCCAGCCGGGGCACGAAACAAAAGCAGACACATCAGACAGGTTTCAAACTAGTTTCCAGGTTAGTGAAAATGATCTGGAAGTGCACGTTCATCAGTTTACAAACTGACATCCTTGCTCCTCATGGGCTTCCTGTATTACTGTGGTTGTTTGTACACACTTTTCTTATGTAACAAAGAGTTATCACTGACATTATTCAATCTCTCACTTTCGGTTTTACCTCCAAATAAAGTGGCTTAGATATTATAATGTAATATCTGGTGTCTAGTTAATAATGTAATAGTTATCATAACCAATAGACCTAATGGCAAAACTGCCAAAATAAGATCCAAATTATTAGCATCCATTAACCTTGATTTTTCTTTGAGAAAGGTTTGTAGAATTCATTTAACTGTGGTTCATCACAGTGTCAGTCTGCCATATGCCATTAATTCTGTTCCTTGAAACTGTAAATGTCACATCATATTCTATTAAACTAGATAAGTCTAAATGAAAATGAATTTTCTTGTCATATTGGTTTCATGATGCTTTGTCTAGACATGGATGACTAGTGCTAAAAAAAACCAAAACCTTTTTTCTTGTCTGCAGAATGACGATGAAGACTTTAATTACGTGATTGCCTTCTTCCTCGGCACAGCAGCCTGTCTGTATCAGGTAAGTGATAGTCTGCGGTAAGAGCAGCCCATCACTGGCTGACTGGCTGACTAACAGCCCTGCACTTTACAGCTCAGCAGCTTGTCAGCTAGACTAACATTAGCAAAAGCTCAATGCCTTTTACCCCACTACCTTCTCTAAAACATTTTCATCAGCTGCTTTTGTGCTGCCTTGATATTAAATGGAGCACCACAAATTGATTGACTGATGGTGGGAACAAAGTTATCAGATGGGGTTTCTGACTTACTGAGCAGACTTATTGTCCCGTGGAGGACATTAATGATGAAAACATGTCATACAAAGTGTGCAGCATTTAAATTCTTCTCTGTTCTCCTACTTTCAGTGCTACCTGTTTGCCTACTTCTCTGTGTGGAGGAACAGTAAGTCCTTCCTGGCGTTTGCACTCATCTGTCTGTCCAACATGTATCTGTATGAACTGAGAAACATGTGGCAGATCCTCTTCCATGTGGCAGTGGGGGCCTTCATGACTCTGCAGATCAAACTGAGGCAACCGCTGGGAAAAGCGCCAGACTACAACGTCTGACAAAAACTTCAAACACAAAGGACTACTGGACGATGTCTTGCACGTGCCCTGGAAATGCAGCGGAGACGGTCCTGACCCGCCTGGGGACAAAGAAAAAAGCCCAAATCCTTCCAGTTCAGAAAGAGAAACCAAAAAATGTGCAGCACCACAGTAGTCCCTGTCACTTTATCCCAGCACCAGTGCACAGTGACAGATCTCAGTGTGGACTTGGAGGAAACAGCCACGGCCCCAATCATTCATGGAGCTTATTGGATGGATTTTCGGAGTTGTCTACTCTGCACCATTGTCTGTTTAAGATATTTACTTTTACTCCTTTTAAATGCAGCCATAGTTTAGCTCAGAGTCCTGCATATGTGCAGTTTTTCATATCCATACTCTTCCTGCACCTGTAAAGCTACAGTAAGCATAAGAACCAACCTGTTACAGATAACACTCAACCCCAACAAATACAAAGGCCACACATTCACCTTGTTTAAAGCGCTCTAGTTGTTACTAGGAATTTATCACACATATAAGATCCCTTTCATTACCAACAAATTCATGCTTTTTTAATACCTTACTGAGTTTGTTATATGGGACTAGTTGTTGGTATGCTTTACTTTGCACACCTCAGGCATGCTGCCTAGACTCAGCAGGGTGGCCAAGAGAGCAATGGCATCGTTTGGGTCTATCAATTTTTTTGTTTTATTTTAGAAATTAAGTGAAACTTATCATATACAGTACACCATTTTGTATCAACACAAACCAGCTGCACAATAACTTTGCTGGAATTAAAATGCTGCCTAAAATTAGCATAATTAGTAAATATTTAAATCAGGACATATCTGGTCATAGTGTAAGTAACCAAGATTAAAATGCAACACACATCAACCATGTCACGTAGAATGGGTCAGCTGACATGCATAACTCACAACAATGTACAATATATTGATTTGTGCGAATGTGGTCAAAATTTCTGCTTTTCTGGAGAGCTATGTGAACCAACCTGTAAAATATGACAGTGGCGTATTCTGAGGAGTCACTGGATCACAGGGTTACATAGAAAACAATGGATGCAGTGTATGTTGCCCTTTAAGAGTTTGACCAGAAATTTGATGACAGTTGTCTGTATTTGACAGTCTTTGATACTCGAGCTACAGACACATTTCTGGTTGTACTCAATTATTATTGAGGTTCAATACACAGCCCTGTTATTTCATTGAGTTTGGTCAACAAGCCTGCAAAGGCTAAACAGATGTTCAACAGCATATAGCTGAAATTCAACATATTAATCACTGTCTTTTAAAATTAGACTTTTAAAAACTTAATAACTGCTTAAGGAACATAAAAACACTGCGAGACTGTACATCTCCCATTCACATCAGTTAATTTATGTGTTTGTGTTTTGTTTTTTTTACCTGTTAGATGCATTTTTTTGCACATGTACCGGTGTGAACCTGACCCAGTGCAGGACTCTGGTTTAGGTCTTGGTTTAAAACTATGCAATGCTGCCTTGTGTGTGTGTGTGTGTGGCCCTCATCCTGTATTCAGGAGCCATTGATTTGCAGATAATTGTCATTTTGACAGTCCATTTTGCTATTTATTTACTGACTGATTGTTCCAAGACATGTGGTCAATGAACATTTATGCAGATTTTATTGCTTTAATTTGTTGTTTTATGATTGCTTCAATTTTTTTAAACGCAGACTGGCGGCCTGTTGTCACAAAGTAACTCCTGCTCCAGTAGACACAAACAGCCTGTTAGCATTCATACCCTCCTTCCTCGCCCACGCAGCCTCAAGCATATGCCAGTGTCAAGTGACTATGTTAATAAACAGGTCTGTGTTGGCAGCAGTAAAGATAGGTGGCTGTGTTGTGGCGGCCAGAGGCAGTCCGCATCATCTGAGCCGCCTCGGGGGTGCTTTTCCTCCCACCAAGCCCCTTCGGTTCAGACACGGTTGCGCCCGCCACTTTTGAAGACAGAAACTCAGTCTCTCACTCTCTGCCTTTTGTAATGGATATTAGCTCAGTGTTCACATTTAACACAATTACAGTCAGGAGATGCCACATTAGGCAGTGTGAGATTTGTTAAGGAAATTATGGGAAGATTTCCTGGTCTCCTGCGCCATCCCAACAAATAATAGAAAACAAATGGAGAAGGGTAGAGAATTGAGTCATGCCTTTATTGTTCATTGTTCATGAGTAGCTCAACAGTTGTGCCAAGATTGTCATAAAAACTATTCTCTCTCTTACTGGAAGAAGTTAGAAGCAAAAATGAAAAGGAGTACAGCCACGCAGCTCCACTCCATGTCCATCTGGCATCTGCACTACAGATCTGTCGGGGGACCACTGCAACACTTCAGCCTCGTATGATTCCTCACTGCGCTCTCTGGATGTTCCCTGCTTTCCAACAGCGGTGCCACACCTACATGACCTAATCGCTCTTTTCACAATATGGCTCGGATTCGATTGGACCTGAATCCAGCTTCCCTGGCTCGGATTGTTTGTGTTCACATTCTCCTCTTCCACAGCAGTTACAGTAAACGTGTAGTGTGGGTGTGTGTAAAATAGGAACAGTGAAATTCAAGGCTTTAATACTGGTTTATCCAAGTATGGAAAACGAATGTGATCATTTCCAGGTCATTAAAACTTGGGAACGAACTGCTGAAAACGTATTATATGTGATAATTCTTAACATTTTAATTAGTTTTATTTCACACAAGCTTTTGAAAGTCCCTCTGTCAGGATCAGAATATAGAAAATGTTTGAAAAAATATTAAATTGCGAAAGAATGGATTTGATTTGAAATGAAAACTGTGTCGGAACACTGGATTTAAAGCATATTTGAGACCAGAAATGTTTTGTCCATTTTCTGTTGCACATGAAGGCACATTGATTCATCATAACGTGCTCTGGTCCTCTTCAGTCAACTTGAAACATATCTACTCTTGTATTAGGACTCATTGTCTCGGAGCTCAGCTATGGAACATTGAACATTAAACAAATCTGAGACATTACCATTACAGTGATATCCATTCTTCAACAAAAAATGAATGCAGTCTTTTTATTATAGCACTGCTGGGGCTTAATGAGGCATTCGATGAGATCTGATGCATGTTGCTGTAATTATGAAAAAGATTAGAAGATTCAAAGTACCCTGTGATAAGGAAGATATTGGATCCAAAGCCGTTATAATTTAAAGGAAACATTTACCTAACCTTGAAAGCTGGAGCCTCCAGCATATGGTAAATGAGCACTCGCGTTCCAACTGCTAAATATAGTGAAACTGCTGAGTTTTGTTTAATTTCCTCCCCCCAAAGTTGTTTTTTTCTTATCTCTCTGGAGCAACAACAAGCAACAGATTGCCTCGTGATTCAAAGGCAGCTGAAACACTTTTCAGGCACTTTTAAGTAATGGCACAAGAGGTATTATGAATACGATGATTATAATTGATGTTTTTTTGTGGGTGCCTCATTATGAGGAACAGCAATTTCCTCCAGATGTAGTTTAGTGGAGCAGGGATATATTTTTTCCTGAGCAGGAAGTATGTGGATTTTAATGACAAATGGGTACTGCAGGTATAAATTGCAGACTACTTGAAGCACAATTTAAAGCCATCGTGCTTCAAGTGAATGTCAGTGGTGGTAATGTTTTTGTAGCAAAGCTCACACAGTCAGTGGGCTCACAGGTTGGCTGTTCAAAAAAGGTCAAAATCATTAAGTCTGAGGCTCCGAGGAATTTGTTTGCTCCAACATTCCCCTGAGAAAAGTCAGGAAAACACTACTGTGGTAACTGCCTGCAGTACTGTGGCCTTTTATTGCATTAATGACCATTCAAATCCTTAAATTATATCTAAAGATGTTCAATCTAAATTGAGTCAAACGCTGCTACTTAAATGCATATCAGGAGTTATTAAATTAACTAATAACCAATAACCTAATTTGTTCTTATTTGATCTAATGGCCAGTGATTTCACTTCTGTATAAATATAGATATTAAAGCTGTAATGGATGAAGTAACACTCAGGGTGCTAATCAGCAGATTAGCATTTTGCTTCCATCTCTTCTGTCATATATAAACAGTAATCATGATGAAAAAAAGAGAGAAAGGGGCCCATATTTTAAGCAAGAGATGTAGTGCTGCTGCCATCTGTTGGTGAGCGTTGAGAACATGTAAAAAAAAATCTAATTTTCAGCACAATGCCAGCTGAGGGGTTTTAAACAATGTTGCATAAGAAAGCTTTAAAGGGTGGGTAGATTTTTATTGAGAGCATCTTACTTCCTATAGACACTATTGTATATGGCCAAAGGTATGTGGGTGTTTGTTGAGCTGGTCTTACAGAAACATTAAAGGCATTGTCATGTTAAAAAGGGTCTTCCAAACCTTTAATATACAGTCGGAAGTAACAACATAGACTAATATATTTTGTGCTGCAGGATAAAGATTTACTGCAACTGGAACTAAGGGGCCCTTGCTCCAGCCATAGGGCGTCCATGTACTTTTGGCCATATCGTGTATGCCTGAAGTCTTGTTCTTCATACAGAACCTTTAGCTTTGGTACTATACGAGTATGCTGAGACGACACAAAGTAAACTGGCATTCATCTTAAAATCATTAGTGAGCTGACAACACAGGCACAAAAGAATCCAGATGAAGTCATGTAGTACCTGTGAAACATCTCAGGAGTTTATTTGACTGTAAAAAAAACCCAAACAATAAAAACAAAAGGGGCATAGTGTTTGGCATGACAACAAAAACAACCACGGTTTTGTCTCTGAAGCTGTTTTTGTCACAGACGCTGCCTCACCCTGTCATATAATCAGAGTCATCAGTCCTCAGCTGTAGAAATGAAAAAGGAGGCAAGCTTCTCCTTCTCTTTAAATCTGAGAAAGTATCTCCTCAGGCACCCCGTAGCTGCACCCCTCATCTGTGATCTGTGCCTTCTCTCCAACCCCTTTCTTATGGCACATTCCTGCTCTATAAGCAGTAGAAAAAAGGGGACTCGCGTGGGCGTAGAATGGCACCGCATTCAATGAGTCAAATGTGATGACAAAAGTTTTAGTAGTGGTGTGTAGATAATGGTTGCAGCAGTACAGTACATTAACAAAACAGAAACCCCCAGAGTAGACCAGTGCAAGCTTATTTTCATTCTACAGGCTCAAAGCAAACATTTGGACTCAGTGCCAAGTTTCTCTTAAAGGTTAAGGCAGGTGCTAATATATATGTCTTCATATATCCCATGAAAAGACCAACAATCATCAATGAATAATTGCACAAACAAGCATCGCCCATGTAGCAAAACCCTGATATATCTCATTCCTCGGTTCCATAGAGCAATCTGTTGTTGCCCGAAAACAAAATGTCTGCACTGGATGACATGTCCCACTGGTATAGAGGCTCGGGTGGGCCACTGGAATCTTTATATCTTTAACCTTATTTAATAAAAAATCAGTTAATACATTGATCAATAAAAAAAACTTGTTTAATTATATTTATATTGTATATTTGTAGATATACAATATAAACCTAGTTTAAAATTGGTCATTTAGAATCTATTTATGAAATGGAACAAAATTTAATACAAAAATTATCTTAAATTTAAGTTTTTAAACAGTAACAATGCGGAGCAACTACTGGAGCTCTGATTGGCCAGAGTCAAACTGGCACATTGCAGCTGGCCAATCAGAGCTCCAGTAGTTGCTCTGTGTTTTCATGATCTTTTTCAATATTTAATCATTCATTTTGTGTTTCTATATGCATAATTTTAATTCATATTTAATTAATTGAATTAATTAAAATTAATAATGATTGCAGTGGTACAGTCAAACATCGATCCACTGTAGTTCATTTTGAGACAATCCCACATACAACGTCCAGGTGCAATAAATACTCACTAGCTTAGCACAGCAACAGGGTTTTAAATAAACAACAGTCCCAATAAATGCTCTACCTGCTACAAACTACAGCGTTTACAGTGTTTTAAAGGTTTATGACTTCACAACAGACAGAGCCCTGGGGGCTGAGGGTGCAGTGTGTGTAGGGAAGTATTGAGAGATGGACTAACACATTGTTGATGTTGGTCTTTTTAAAATATAAGAACACTGCTAGCCTCATCCTTTAGCCTTTTATCTCAAATATGCTATATTCCTCAATATTCTCAGATAAAACTCGACACTGTCCAGACATTTACTGATTACTGTACTCTGTGACTCAGCCAAGACAAACAGAACCAGCTGTAATGTTTGGTAATAACATCACTAAAAATCACTAAAATCTATGAAACTGCCAGGTCAAAGATAGTGTGTCTGATGACATGCTGAGTAATGCTGTAATATTGAAGAAAACTGCTCGGAAAAGAAACAAAAAAAACAAAAAACAACAGCAGATAAAAGGGCACATTTCCACACGGGCTCGTCTGTCCCTGTCCACAGGATGAGCATCATCACCGTCAGTGTAGAGTTCATATTAAAGGCCTCATCGGAGATCATTGGACATTCATTGGGTCGTACCATCTGATTGAGCAAGCAAGAGGAGGTTGTGGAGCGATGCAGGAAGGGGTGGACGGCTGAAAGAACTGGAGTGCAAAAAGACTAATCCATTCCCAGACTCTAGTCTGCCATTCAAAGAGCACACTCACTTGGTTTTAACACTTTCTTCTCAACGTGAGATTCAAACACACTAGCAAAAGAAACGGTTGACTTCCTGCAGATCGAAAATGCTGAATTTGGTGAAAAGAGAAAGAAAATCGGGCATTCAGGGGCGTCGATCTGCTGAGGCTAAGACCAGGCAACACTAGTGAGGACTTGTGAAATCCCAACATGAGTGATACGGTATGTACGTCTGAATACACATTGGTGTTTATAGATAGCTCTCTAATATATTAATGTACAAAATATAGAATCTTAAAATATTTGATAGGGTTTGGTGTTCTGAAGTCAAAATACAAAATGTCGAAGATTAGAAAAAAGCTCTTCATTGACATCCTCTTTGTGTTTAGTGTGTGTGTATATATGCTGTCCATACTGTAGTGTGAGTTTGTGAATTTATACATTTGACTTTCTGTAAACACTGCGGAGCGTTTTCTGTCTGTTCATACAAAACACAGTCCAACCTGTCTCTGAGGGACCTTCTCACCTGTAAAGACACACTCTCCACCCAACTTACTGCGACTCCTCCATCAATCGGTTAATTACTGATGTGATCAGATATCGATGCAAGGACGGATTAGTGCTGCGGTGCTGGCTGAGTGCACAAACTTGAGAGTTTTGTACCTCTATCACAACAGAAGGGACAAAATGTGTTTTCACATACAGTACATAAAAATTGTATACATACACATAAAACTGTCTGTGTTTTACATGTACACATATACTTCAGCAGGAGAAAGGCAGAGAGAAAGAGAGGAAGTGACGTAGTCCATGTCCTCCTGTGGGTTTGTCGGAAACCCTCAGAAAATCTGACAGACTGAAGCAAATAGAATTTCTTTAAGAACATTTTTCCTTTAGGACCTAGACTTACACAGCCAGCGAAATCTGTCTTTTGCGCACTGATTGGACTTCTTTGGTCTCAATGGCAGATTCAGGCAAGTTAGGCCTCTTCCACTGACTGTCTCCTCCGCAGGCTGAGCTTTAGGATGAATTTTCTCATCCTTTCTCATTGTGGCCTCAGTGGGTTTAAGAAAGGATCAGCACGGTAAGAGGGGACGCTTCAGTCAGTCTCAATCTGCCCGTAAGCTATCCGAGGTCCGTGAGCCTGCTCGTTATGTCGGAGGCAGAGTTAAGGCGCCTACCCCAGGGTGTCTGTTTGTCACTTGGTTGGGGTTAACTGTTAGGGGGTCCACTGGTGAGGAAATAGGTCATCATCTCTCCTTTGCCCTTGACAGTGACCACACCTCTGTACTCTAGTGTGTAGTTATAGGAGCTCAGTACCTGGTGCAGGTCTGCGGTCACCTGAGGACAGAGGGAGGAAGGAACAGTGAGCGGACAGGTTTGTGTCATTACTTTGTCTTCATTTAGCACCTAATGACTCCCAGTCAGCAGTGATTTGGTGATTTATGGAAGATGACTAGATGTCTGGGTTAAAAGCGGGCTCAATTTGTTGGAAATCTTTACTAAGTTTACATAAAATCATTGCTTTAATTGTATTTAACGACTTCTATGGTCCCAGAAAGGATGTCTGAACAATGGTAATAATCTTGATGTCTGGGAAACTAACTCCTTTCAGCTCGCTGGTCTGTACTTGAAACTGGATATTCTACAAATAGATGAAATCTCAGTGGTTACATCCTAGCGTAATCGTGCTGTTGCCTTGTCACTTTTCATGTTCATTAGGGAGCATTGGTTTATATTTTCTCTTGTGTAAATGGTTTTTCAGAAAGTGCAGTGGAGACGGATGAGATGAAATTAAAGGGTTCCATCTGTGTTCAAAGTAGCTTTGAGTTATTAAACTTTAATGATTGCACATCTGATAGACCGAAACCAATATGGCCATTTTTAATTAACATTTTTCATTAACTTGAATAGACTTTTTTGAAATCCAGCCATCAGCCATGCCTGAAAGGCACTTTTGCAGAACTCATGCACATTAGACAAAGAATTTCACATTTTTGACCCAAATAGCTTGAAGCTAACTCCAACATGGCAAAACAAAAGAGCAGTCCTGAGCTCTGCAAATACTCTTCTATTGAGTCATTTCAGTCCAAACATTCATTTTTTCTATTGTGACATAAGGACTGAGATTGTTTGACTTGTTTTTAATGTTTTTTAACTTTAAACAAATTCATATTGAGAGAAATCTCTATTAATAACCACAGAGTGATTTTCAGTGGCAGTTCTTTAGTGTTGTTCGTTGTCACCAAGCTGATGACTGTTGTTCAAAACACTCAGTATAAATTTAAGTAATAGGCTGAATTCAAACTAGTGCATCTGTTGGTTATGGACCAAAGTAAAAAAGTAAAGTAACATTATCTATCTAAATATTCTAAAATGATGTAATTGAAATGTTATTTTACGTTATTTATACGTTATATAGGCAGTGTGATGTTACACTTCACCTGGATCCTCTCCGGTACACCTGTGCTGTCCATACGACTCGCCACGTTCACTGTGTTACCCCAGATGTCGTACTGAGGCTTCCTGGCCCCAATCACCCCGGCAACCACAGGGCCAATGTTAAGACCTACGAAAGGAAACAAGTATTACGTGCATAAGACTGAACTGCTACTTAACCAGTCAGACTTAGGGCCCTATCTTGCCGATCTGAAACGCAAGTATCAAACGCAAAACGCAAGTAGCTTTGTGGGCGGATCTCGGGCGCTGTTGCTATTATGCCGGCGGGATAAATGACTCTTGTGCCCGGCGCAAATCTAAAATGGGTTGGTCTGAAGTAGCTACATTAGTCATAGGTGTGGTTTGGGCGTAAGGTGCAATAAACCAATCAGAGCGTCATCTCACATTCCCTTTAAAAGCAGGCGCGCTTGTCCCATGGCGGATTGATATTATAACGGCCGAGGAGACCGGCGTTCTCGTCAGGGCCGTAAAAGACCGAGAAGTGACATTATTGACATGAAATAAATGTAACACAGCCATACAATAAATCCAAACAATGTAACGCAGCTTGCAGGAAGAAGCCCCTGGCCTCGGGAGCAGTGCGCAAGGGCCAGCTGAGGAGGGAGCGGTGCAAACACCAAGGAGCAGAGGATTCAGACCCGCTACACGCCGGAGGACCACCCGTTCCTGCAGCAAACCGGGTTTGACATGCTGGAGCGGGAGCTGTCCGGGATGCGGCAAAGTATTAATGCCCGTCCTGACCGGGTGGCGATGTTGCTGCTGCCTCTCAGGCGCATCTCCTCAAGTATGCACCATTAAAATAGCATCTGAATAAGCGCCACTGACTTTAGACTAGGTCTTTCCTGGTCTGTGGCGGAATTGTTTTCTGAAACAGCAAAATAGCACCAGGGAACGTTTGCGCCGGAACACGCCTCCTCTTTTCGCTGAACCGCCCCCCTGAGAGCAAGTTCATTCACTAATTTAAGGACGTGCGTCGGTGGAGGGAAACTTCCAATGTGCGTCGAGTGCAAAATAGGAATTATACAAGCGCCAGTGTACAAAGTCAGTTGCGCTGAGTGCAAGATAGAGCCCTTAGACCATAAATGGATGCAAAAACTATTTATTCTATGAATTCTTTTTTTACATAACTTGGCTGGCAAAATGATATTTATTGTGTCAGGTTCTTTAATCTTTTCTTTCTCTCCCAAAATGGATCAATATCAGTTTGGAAGTAACCGTTTCAGTCAATAACAATTTCACTCCATCTGCATCCCCATTAGATGTACAAAATCGCTTCTTTCTTTTCTGCAGCTCACCTATTTTCATCTTGAAGTTGTTAAAGGAGTGCTCATTGATGTATTTCATTTGGTCCATCAGCCTCATGGCGTAGTCGGCCAGGGCACGGATGTGCGAGCGCCCAACCTTGTCATATGTGGAGTCATTGAGGCCGGAGGCCGCCATGTAGGTGGAGCCGATGGTCTTGATCTTCTCTAGCTGACGGAACTGTTCCTCACTGATGATCTAATGGTGGCAGGAGAAGGAAGGATTAATCTATAAAGTATATATATTTAGAAGGGTTTGGGTTAAGGTTCATTGGATCTTATTCTAATAACCATATTCCTTGAGCTCCAGTCAAACAATTTATATTTTTTATTTCATTTGTCTTTTTATAGAACCAAGGACCAATGTACAAAACATTTAAATAGTCAAAAGATTTAGATCTGAAACATCAACATTTCTGATATTCATATTCAGTCAAATCACTTTTTTTTTTTTTTTTTTTTTTTGCCTGCTGAAGATTGACAGGAAAAAGGGGAGAGAGAGAGAGAGAGAGGGTATGACAATCAATAATAAAGCACCACTGACATCAGTGGATCCCACAGTGGAAGCCACAGATTTATGCCCTCACTCACTCACACACACAAACACATTTGTTCACGTCCCACCTCATCAAAGTCTGCAATGATCTCGTTGAGCAGCCGCAGACACTCCACTCCCTCATTGTTGCCCTCCAGCTCTACGTAGAACTCTGAGAAGTTGCTGATGGAGGCGAACATGACCGCCACGCACTCGCACGACTGGTAGTAGAGCTCGTCGTTACGTCGCTCTCGCTGCAAGAAGTGGGCTGCCACGTCTTTGGGCAGGATGTTGTGGAGCAGACGGCGGTTGTAGGCCTGCAGCTCCTCCATTTCCTCCTTCTCCTCTGTGGCCTGAAATAGAATCATGTTTTGGGGGGAAAACCCAATACTGTTGAGTATCTGGAGTAGTATATAACGACTACCGCACGCGTTGCTATAAAATTTGGTACAGATATTCATGGTCCCCAGAGGATGAATCCTTATGACTTTGGTGAACTCCTGACTTTTCATGTAGCACCATCAGTTATCTTTTCTGTTAACGCTGACGCCACCCTCCGGTTAGTTTTTACATTTGCTTCACATCGACTGCTAAAGATCAAAACCAAACTTTTATCCTCCTCACTCTAACTATCAGTGACAGCAGTGAGCTGTCAAATAAAGACCCCTCCAGCAGATTAAAGCAGTCTAGATAAATAATATGTTTATCCCCTTGATTGGATTACCAACCACCGGCAGCACATCCTGCTTCAGCAACTCCATGAGATGTCAGAACCCTGGAGGATCCCTTAAGACATTTTCTGATTGTTGAATAAATACTTCACTTAAATTGATTAGAGCAACACTAACCCCCAGTAGGCCAGAGAGGTGGCCCTGGAATTGTTTTGAGCTTGTTCCTTCTCTGAGGACAACCGCGGCAGCCCCATTTGGATTCATGACAGTTACAATGGATTCCAGTGGGCAGCCAGAGTCACAACAACAGAAACCTCTGAGACCTCTCACAGTTTCTTCACAACAAAAGCTAGATACACTACTTCTGTGTCACACTATTAAGCCATTTATTGGTTGTTATGGCTGCCATCCTCCATGACGAAGCAAGAAAGTTTCAGAGCCACCGTTTGAGCCAATAGGGGATGAGTACATACTTAAAAGATACATTTTTGGCAGATTAGTCCTTTAAATAAACATGCACATAGTCAGAGGTTGTCATCTGTTTTTTTCTCAAGGGAGCTGGTCTTATGTAACACGAGCCGGCATGGCAGATGCCAGAGAAGGAGAGAGTGTGAGAGTGGAATATGGAGGCAAGCGGCGTACTGCAAATGAATGCAAAGAGCAGCGTTGAGACCATGATGGCCCCTTGTTCTTTCTGTCAGCATCTATTTGCTAACCTAAATGAGCTGAAACCAACAGCAAGCTCAGTGCACGGATGTTGGAATGGGATGGAGGACTGGAGCGGACCTGACTGAGCTGGCCCTGCTACGCTGTCAAGTGGGCTGCTGGCAGACAGCTAGTCGAGCTCGCTGGGGTTCTGGTAAGGCCTCCGTCCTTTTCTTGTTGATTGACGACAAAGACATTTCTCTCTGGATGGGATGTTAGTATCTGGTACAATCATTACCACTAAGCTAGTGATAATTCAATCCCCTAGACCTAAAACAAATTAGTTTTTTCTGTGCCGTGACAATGAGTGCAATAATAATAAGAAGAAAACAACTGCAATGCAACAAACTACTGTTTTTATCATGTTTTATCCAACATGTCTCAGCAGTTTAGACAGATCTTGCTCAGAAAACTTATTGTGCAACAAACTGTCCAACAAAGGGGGAAAAATATCAGCTTTCTTGATGGCAACGTCTTGTAGAGTTCCCTAAAGGATCATTAAACCAACAGCACACGCACAAACACAAACTTGATTCATTCACTTAAGGGGACAATAACTAATATTTGTTCGCTAGAGACCTAGCCTTACCTTAATCCTAAACAAAGCTGTAAAAATGAATGATTTACATGGTAGGGATCTACTTTTTGTCCCACAAATGAATACACACCTGCAGCTTCCAGAGGAAATCGAGCCTGGCCGTGGACTCCACCTGCTGGGCGTGAAGGTAGAGGGCGAGAACGAAGACGGTGATGACCACCGGGGTCATGATCTTCAGAGGAACCTTGGAGTCCATCACACAGCTGGAGGTCAGCACAAACACACGTTAGGTTTTTTAGAACTGAAGAGCCATCAAACATACAGGCGTAACATAACATTATACTCTGTGGGTGTAACTATGTACCTTGCAGGAACACTGTGACACAAAAACAAGCTGCCCTCTAAATCTTGGCTCATTACTGTTAGCATCTGTTGCCAGCAGGTCATTATAGTTACATTTGTGCCAGCACAGTGATAATGATGCTGTTAGCTTAATCAGATGATAGAGGTGATGCTTTGGGTCTCTGTGGTAATAGAAGTTGCCATCAGTCTCACCTTGTTCCATTCATGTGCTCGCTGCGAGGGGAGGAACAGAGAAGAGCTAATCAGCGGTAAGAACGTCTGCACACGCTCAAAGATTTCAACATTACGGGCGTAACAACGCTCACATACGGCAGTAACAAAGTGACTCACACAACGTTGATGGCGTTGGCCATCACCAGCAGGTCCTGGTTGTCAAAGAGGTTCACTGTGGGCACCTCCAGGATGAGGATGTAGAGCAGCTCGATGAAGAGCATGAGGAAGAGTTTACCGATGCTGCTGATCTGCAGGAAGACGGAGCTGGCCAGCAAGCTCAGCAGCACGCAGGACGAGAAGTACTGAGGGAGGAAGACGGAGAGAGGGGACATTAGAAAGGTAGTCAAGCTTCATGGTGTGACTGAATGAGTCACATCCAGAGGTATTATATAACATAACACCTGATTAACCCACAATTTCGACCACTTAACTTAATTTACTGTGCAAACCGAGTGTTAACATTTATACCTGCAATTACCCTCACTTAGTATCCATTGTTTTGCTACCAAAATTATATCACTTGTCAGAGAAATCTCATTGAAATCTTAAAATACACGTTTACAAGTGCCTCACTACAACAGATTGAACATTTTTATTTGTTTTATTGGAGTGATGTATTGTTCTAAGAGCACTAAGGTACTTGAGGTGTTACAGCCTCACTGTGCTGTTTCTCGCCAGACATTCAGACCAAAACCAAAATTACATTTAGCCTCATTATGCCTCCACGCAGGCATTATTCTTTCGGGCTGTCCGTACGTCGGTCTGTACGTCTGTACCATTCTTGTGAACGCTATATACGTCAGGAACGTCTTGCGGCAATTTCTAAAAATTTGGTACAAACGTCCACTTGGACTCAAGGATGAACTGATTTGATATTAGGGGTAAAAGGTCACGGACACTGTGACATAACTTAATTGATGACCATATTTCACTTCCTAATGTTCTGGAAAAACACTTTTTTGGCCATTATTCAACACCGTAACTCAGGAACAGAGGGAGAGACTGTGTTGATCGGACACTAAATAGGTGACACTGTTGAGTCAAAGGTCAATGATCATTGTGAGCTCAGAACATGTTCCGATTCCAGATTTCACACACGCAGACTAGGACGACACAATGAGTAAACAATAACTAGCACAGTGCGGGCTTTCATCTTTCCATCTCGTCCATTCTGCCTTTTCACAAATCTTGTGACTGCATTTTGGAGTGTGCCTAGCTAACAGTGATCCTGTGGGTGAGTTTAACCTAAAGACAGCCACTGCATCTAAAAATGCCAGGAGAAAACAAAAGCAACAAATTTTAAATAGCTATACCAAGAATCCATCTTTGCATAGTAAGTACATGTGTAATGTAGATTCACTGAAATATACTTAATTATACTATACTGAAATATAACACTATACTGATATTATACCTTTTAATTAAATTCCTTGGGAGTCTTCACCACATGGACATGGATGTAAACTGCAGCATTACTAGCCATTGGAAGCGTACAACCGTGGCACGGTTATTCTAATTTTACCCATAAATTTGACTGCTTGACTGGCATAATATCAAGCAAATTTTGACATGACGACATGCAAGCTGATTTGCCTAAACATTTTTAACATGTATGTTTGATCAACAGTCCACAGTTGGTGGAAATTCAAAAATTCAACTCAAATGAGCCACAAATTTGTTTAAAAGCAGTAAAGCTAACTTTAAGCATTCCTGCAGGGAAAATCTCTGTTAAATATTAGTAACAGTAACTCTGTTTTGCCTCATTTACTCTTACTTGCAAATGGTCACGGCACCTCTACATTCGCTTGTTGTTGAAATCAATCATATAATAAATAATGTTTGTTTGCTTTAAAACAAGCCCTAAAAGGCAAATAAAATACACACACACACACACACACACACACACACACACACACACACACACACACACACACACGTACGTACCTCAGGGAAGCTGCAGATGAGAGCGTTGTCTGCACAGGGGCTGTGTTGTGTGTCCAGGCTGAAGTTGAGGAGGCGGGCGTGACAGATGTTCACACTGTCCAGACTGATGTTGAGCTCCCTCTTGATGCAGTCCCGCAGGTCGTGGCTGCTGCAGGTGAACTGAACAAGGTCAAAGGTAAGTGAGGATATGTCAGAGAATCAGGCGAATTGTTTTTGAATAAGACTGCAAAGAGCTCAGTGCTTTAAAAATGGTCTCATAAGGAGAAGATTCTGTTAAGTGAGAACTCACAATATTGATGAAAGCAGAAAGAAAGACGATGATGATAGTGAAGACGCCCACCAGGGTGCTGTTCAGTCTGGACTGGACTATCCTTTTGGAAAGTGTCTGCAAGGGGACTGGGAAGAGCTGGGAGCACGGGAAAAACAGGAGGACAGAGGGAGCAAGGAGTGAGTGATTGGTACAGACAGTAAGACAGAAAAACAAGACTTTGACGTAATTTTGCTTATTTTAATCTGAAGCCACTAGATAAATAAATCCCTAAATACATAATGCAGATCGGCAGGTCAGTTTCTGAGTTACCATTGGTCACCTTATCACCACCAAAAATACTCTCCATAGGTTTAGCATATGTACGTAAGTGGAAGTGATTTTTCCAAAATAGAAACGTTACTCATCAGTTAAAACCATCAACAGAAGCTTCACAAATCTCTTACGTCCCTCATGACCTGTCAGCAGGTGGTTAGAGCGGGAAATGGATGGAAAAAAAGCTTCCTTCGCCAGGTGAGCTCTGCCTTTGGCGTCACACCCATGCCATTAAGGCTGTCATGGGATTTGCACTACATGATTATCGTGGCCAAAAGAACTCACCATAATAATAATAATAATAATAATAATAATAATAATATTACCATGATATCTGATATTTGAGGAAAAAAATTGTATAAGTCAGTTCATCTTTTACTGTGTCTTTGTGTTAACCACAAAGTGAGAGCATATCAACATAATAGCGGCAATATTTAATTCAAAGCGTCTTACATTCATGCCTGATGTTTAGAGGTTCCAACCCAATTGTGGTCATATTAGGCTTCTGTCGGGCCACATTGCACCACAAAAAGGATGTGATTGGTTTGATTCTGATGTATGTAATAAATAAATATTAAGCAGAGCAATCACAGCCTGTTAACAGACTGTACGAGTGAGACAAAGTGCAAATTCAAGGTACACGCTAGCCTTCAAGTCTCCTGGATCTGGCAGGAATGAATAGGAAACACATTCTTAAATGTGTCACCAAAAACATGTATCACAAGATTTTTACGATTCTGGCTGTATATGCCAATTCTTTTTTCTTTTTTTTTATCGACTGAGTCTTATATAGGTTTATAGTGGCTTATTCTACTGCCAGGATTACATAGAATCTAAACCCATTTTAATACAATTTTTATTGTGCAAACTGCAATGTGTATTTCAAAATTGTTATACGAACACTATAAACAGACAATACTCAATATTTAAGTATTCAACAAAGTATTTCTCAAATGTTCTATTGCATAAGAACGAAACAAATGAGTTACAGCAGTTGTTTCAGCTATGCACCAATGGTGGTATATGAAAAATTCATATCATACAGGAAATTAAAACTAGTATACTGGTTCATCCAGTAGATCGCCAAGCACTAAAGCCATACCGCCTTTGTTTGAAGTGAAAGGGAGACTGAGCAAATATTCTGAGCTTAACAGTAATGTGGCGGTACTCTTAAAGCCAAAACTGATGTGAACTGAATAGCTCTGAAATGAACTGTGTTGTCTGAATATTAAAAAGACACACAGCTGATCCTATAGATACACACCATCACACTGACACAAATACGACGGACTGAGATACACAAATCCCACATCCAAGTGAGCTCTGTTCTTTTGGGATAAAGGATTATGTAATGTGTATTTTCAAATCCCAAACAAACTCTACATAATCTATAAATTGTAGCTCGGCAAAGTGAAGTTGAATGGCGACATCTGCACTTTGTATTAAGGAATTTAAAGTTAAAATCATCTTGCTATGAGGTCAAGAGCAGACTATGTTTAAATTTCTAGATCACTGAAATGATCTGTAATCAACAGCAAGTACAGCATCAAACCACAGCCTGATAAAAGATTGAACAGATCTGTCTCTGTGATGTCTGATACTGAAGTTCCCTAACAAAGAAACAAGAACCAGTCCTTCTCTTATCGCTTAAGAAAAAGACTAATGTGTTAGATCTGCACAAGGCGTCAAGTTTATCTGTTTTTATTCAACACAAGCAGAGACGACTCACCCCAAAACAGCAGTACACGGTTGAGACGAACATGACAGCCATCAGGATAATGAGACAGGTGATGAAGAAGCCCATCATCAGACTGGAGCTGCGGACGACACAGTTAGGATGTCATTATACGCATATGGTGTTTATTTCTGGCTGCTTTTAATGTTTTACTATTTGTTTTTTACTGTGGTATTAGAGGTAACACTGTGGGCAGCAGCATCTGCTTCACTCTCTCTGACCTTGTGTCAATGTAAATAATATGGAAGCAGGCAATATGTGTGTGTGGGCACGACAGGTAATGATAATAGCCAGGAGGCGATTAAGTGTAAATACATTGAGAATGATCAAACAGATTAAAACAGATACACAGAGAGAGGAGGAGGAGGTTAAGAGACAGGGAAAGACTCTGAGGAAGGCTGAGAGGTAAAGACAGGAATAAAAGACGAGAGGGGAGTGGTCGTGTGATGAAAGGATCTAGTAGAAAGGTTAATAAAGGGGCGCCCAGTTAGCTAAATCGGTAGAGCTGGTGACCCATATACGGAGTTGCTGCAGCGGCCCGGGCTCGAATCCGACCTGTGGCCCTTTCCTGCGTGTCATCCCCTCTCTCTCCACCCACCTTTCCTGTCTGTCTACAGCTGCCTCTATAAAAAATAAGGTTAATAGAAAGGTTAATAAAGAGACAGGCTAAAGAAGATCAATACTGGGAGATGGGCAGGGAGAATAGTCTGAATGTAGGAGATAAAAAAAGGAGGAGGGTTCGCCTCGAGACAAAATCTGCCAGAGCCTCTTGAATCTGGCTGCTGCTCAGCTGCAGTTACGCTGATTTTGATTTTAAATTCTCTTTTAAAACTCATGTATTCCGCTTTTTGTGTTGTGAAAATGACTTCTTTATTTTCTTTCACTTTCATAATTCTGGTTGTGAGGCTACAGACGAAAAAGAACGTCAATAGATCCTGTGAGGGATAAAGCAATGTGCAGGATTTGTGAGGCTCCAAAGATTAAAAGCAGACACTGAAGGTTTGTTAATGAGAATGTCATTCATTTTTAATATTATCCCAACATAACTCACAGCACTTTCTAAGAACATATTGTAACCATTTTTAAAGGCTGTATAACAACTATTTATGTAAGTTATGGATTAATTAATAGTTAATAAAAATGCTTACTAGATGGGTTATTATTAATTATTAATTATTAAGACATTAATAAGGCCAACCTATGGGTTGCAACATAACTTTTTTTTCTTTAGTTGTACCAATAATTTCTATTGTAATATTAACATTGTATAGTGATTGCACCCAGTAACACAAGTACAAGTGGTGAGATAATCAGACAGGTTGTAAACAAATCCCCTTTCAGAAATAACCAAGTTATTTAAAGAAGAAAACAACTGTGAAAGTGAACTCATTACCCAAACTGTCCATCAAAGTTCACAGCTGAGTTCCTGTTTTAACTTTGACCTAATGTGCTTCGCGTAACTGTGTGCACACAGTTTTCCTCTCCAATGCGGAATCATTAGCAACATTATGGGTGCACTGAGTTTCACCTCCAAATAAAGTGGTTTGGATATTGGTCTCAACTGTCAGCTTGTGTACAACCTGTCTGATTATCTGACTCACAGGAGCGAATCACAGGGGTGCTTGAGAATTGGGCAGCAGTGAATAACATTAAATACCGACAGAGAAATTAGGAAATGGGGCTATTATGATGGGAGTAGTAATGTTGTCCAGTTAAAATAAATAGAGAACTAAGTATGTTTAACTGTGAGCTAAACATGTGCCCACCCTTACATTTTTTGAAATATTTGTTTTCTGACAGTCCCCTACAGGTTTTGACGATGTCTGACTTAAAGCTGCAGAAGAAACCTTTCATAGAATTAACTTTTTGTCATACTTGCTGAAACTTTCACTATTTCCTGTCAGTAATACATGAGACAGATAATCTGTGAAAAAAATCAGGTTCCTCTGGCTCTTCCTAGCGCTCCTAATGGCATTCGGAATCTGAGTTGCTAATGGGGGCATATGTCAGCGAGTCTACTCTGGAGCATTTCAAAGTGCTGACTCACGGTGGAACAATGACGATCTGGATGAAGCAGATGAAGAGAAAGACGAGGGAGGCGCAGGCCACATAAGCCCCGAACCTGGAGTCCACCTGTTTGGAGTACTGCAGGAGGGAAGAAGAAGAGGAGAATGAAACAGATGCAAAAATCAATTAGCCAAAAAATGAGTAACAAAATGAGGACTTTACACTTGACACGGACTTCACCATGTATCTATACATTTAGGTTTACGTTATCGGGAAAAAAATCAAAAGTTGAGAGAGTTATGAGGAAACATTGTCACACAACTTAAAACAAGGTTGAATGTTTTATGTAATTGCAAGTCTGCTTTGGCACTTGATAGTCTTGACATCCTATTTGGACTTGCCCCATACATTAAGCCTTAAAAACAGCTCTGCAGACAGTTCAAAAGCCCTTCTGATCTTCTCTAAGTCTTCACTTCCTCACACTTTTACCGTGACAGGAGGAAAGTGACTGGAACTTGAAAACATGACTCCCCCAAAACTCATTTGTGACGCCCCGAGCTCTAACCTTTCTTCTCAGCCTGTCCTTCACTGTCAAAAGCAGTTTACTTCCTCCTTCCTTTAGCAACGTCTCTTCCTCCTTTAAAACCCGGTTCCTCCCTTTCTCTGTTATACTTTGCTTTGACTGACTTCCTCAAGGGACAGAGAAGAGCGAGCAGGAGAGAGCTTTTTGCACGGGGAAGATTGCTTGTCACAGCCAATTATTTGCTTCTATATTGGCAGTGTGTGTCACTATGTGTGTGCTTGTGTGCATGTCCTAACCTTTTTCTCCAGGTCAGGCTCTCTGAAGGTGAGCAGGAACTTCTTGACGTGTTCGGAGCGCAGACGGTCGATGCTGCGTGCGTCGATGGCGCGGCCCAGGAACTCATCCACCTCGTCCTCTGGGTTTAGGTTTTCCTGCGTGTTCCTGAAAATGAAATGCCTGAATAACAGGCGACATTTACATCTCAGGATGACTGAAAAGCCTCTTGAAACTCAGTATCTTCCCAGAAAAACACCTGCAACCGAGGAGCTAATTGCCTTTTCACAAGGTAGAAACCACTGCAAATCATTTATAATTGTTGTATGGTCACCCTAACAGCCTACCCTGAGGTGCAGTAATATTTAGCTAATCATATGCAAAGAGAAAAGACTCCCCTCAATCCCAAAAGACTCTGATGAGCCGATTCATCTTGGACTAATCTCAGAATCTGCAAAGTGTCACTTACATTCTTCAGCCTTATTGACAAGCACAAAGCAGCTGATGGAGATGTCATGCTACTCTGAGCACAGTAATTAGCTGGTGCAGAGCAGGTAGAGCACTCCCTCTGAAAACAGCTGCCTGCTGCGGCCGAAAAACTACGCTATGAAAACACATTCATACAGATGTATAAGTTCTTATAGAAAGAAGAGAAATAACAAGGAAAGATGCAACAAACATCCCTGGCCCGACCTGAACTATTAACATTGCAGTTCACAGTTATCATCTTAACCCCCAAGCTCTGGAGATGCCCCTAAAAAGAGCCTTATTCCTTGGCAATTAAGGCCTTAATATAGTGACAAATATATAGGGTTTGTTTTAGTGCTGGATTTCTGCCTAGGGTCATGGTTAACATTCAGGCTATGATATTATTATTATTATTATTATTATACTGGACTAAATGTGTCCGCTGACGACAACCAGCCTCTGACTGCATCAGTTGTACAGACAGATTTCAAACTGTGATATCGTATCTAGTGATGCCTTCTCATGGAACACTATAAAAACACAGCATGTACTTCCTCTCAGCTCCAAAAGCTGTCTGCATAAGAAGTAGGATCTGTGCTGTAGCCCGGGGCAGAGGCTGTTGGCGTGCACACTCCTGCTCAGTGTGATGTCAGAACAAACTCGCAGATACAGAACAGTTTGGGAGGAGAAGAGGAGGACAACTTCGTTATAAATGACGGCAGTTTTATGATCACTGACAGCCTTCGGGTTAAACATCCCCTCCTCTCCTGTTTTATATTCTGGATGAGATGAGTCATTGCAGCTCTACCTGACAGTGGTAGGCAATATCATCTTTGATTTTAGACAAAATGACTTAATCTCTGAACGAATTCAATCACAATTACAAACACTGCTAGACAGGTGGATTGTAATAAGTTGAATGCCAATTAGCAGTAGTTACAAGCTTTAAAAACCTGCCTGGCAATCACAACTTTTGTATAGCTGGGTTTCCATAGCAACATAGCATGGCTTAAAGTGCTCCAAAGAGGCTAAATTACTTTGTGGCCAAATATGTGGCTGCCAAGTGAAGATTAAATTACCCAGATTTGAAGGTTACATTTTTTTACATTGTGTAGCATTTATTGGCATCTAGCGGTGTAGTTGCAAATCACAATTCCCTCGCTTCACTCTCCCCTTCCAAGCACGAAGGAGAAACTATGGTGGCTGTGAAAAACGCGAACACACAGCCAGTGTTTGGTTTGTCCCTTAGATAATGATTCTTATTTTCAGGAGATTATACACTAATGAAAACATAGTTATGAATATTATATTATATTTCAGCCAATAGATACTCCTAAATGTGACAAACTGGACCTTAAAGCCCCTGAAAAACCTTAATCTTAATTATTTATCTTAAATACTAAAAATATGTGAAACATAAAATCTGTGAGATGAAAAATTAATCGTGACACTCTTTTTAAACAGCAGAGGGCGCTATCTACTTTTGACTTTTGTTTCCCATAAATGACAGGGTCATATTTTCAGTTTAACTTTGACAAAGAAAAGGAAATATCTATGTACATTTGCATTGAAATATAGTTTTCAGATTTTTGTCTAAGAAATGAAGGAATCGTAATTTGTCTTCAATCTCATTTTGTTTTAAAAAAAACAATTCAGATTGTGAACCCAGGATCGTGAAGTGTATCAAATCAGGAGTTGAGTGTATCGTTACATCCCTATTATTAAGGTTTAACCATTCACATCCGGACTGTTTGGTTGTGGCAAACAGCCCCACAACTGTCTGACTTTTATTCAAACCAGCACAGACACAATTTCGATTAAGATTAAAGTCTCTTCTCATCAGGTGCTTGTGTCATTTCATCTACCCCCTTTATTGTCCTGGAGTGTTTGATGTATCGATCTATATCGGGGAGTTTATATAACCTTGCAGAACAGACTTCTGAGACTTTAACCAACTCTGCTAGACTTTTATCAGGATAGACAGGCAATTTTGTAAGTATTTATATTAAAATGTGTCTGCAAGCATTTTAAAGCTGAACTGAAAATCAACAAACTGCAGGTACTTTTTGTGCAGTACAGGCCTTACAGCTTCCTCTAGGTACAATTATTTAATGTTACAATCTATGCTCTTTTAAGCAAATTGGGTTAATGCTACTGATGTTAATGTGCTTTCCACTAATGCCTTTTTGGCAGCATCAGTGTTTGTGAGTTCACAAAGTGAGCTCACAGCAAATGTCCCTCAAAAGAAAACAGATGTGGTTCATACAGTTTAAACACAGCATCAGTGTAATCTGATCTCTAACCTCAAACCTGATTTTGTAGTGGTCGTTCTGGCCCTCCACCAGTCATTAACAGTGCTAATTACATTTCCTTTCAGGGCTCGTGTTTGTTATTGATTTCAAAGTGGCCCACTGATTCAGGTCTTTCAGCCAACTGTATGAGATTCATCAAACAGACAAAAAGATACAACAAAGAGCATTATGAGAGGGAAGACACAGTAATGCTGAGATACAGTCACTACTCACTTGTCTTTGGGGTCTTCAAAGCCCTGCAAGACAGAAAAGAGAACAGAAAAGAGCAAAAACAGACAATTAGTTGGAAATAGCAACCTCTAGTGTTCGCTCAGTCTGACAGCAACAGCTGGGAACTATTCTCTACCTTATTCCAACCAGACTGGGCTAATTTCTTTATTTTAATGACGCGATCAACAAACCTGGCACAGGTTTAGAAATGTCTAATACAGAATATTATTTATTTATTTTAGATTTTGTAAATTATAAAGTAAAAATGCCAAACATGGGCTGGTTCCAGCTTCTCAAATGTGAGAACTGCTGCTTTTCTCTCATTTATATCTTTCTAAATGATCACTTTTGGTTCTGGAAACTTGTTATGGGCATTTAGATTTTTTCCCCAGATATTTTAGTGACAATAATAATAGACAGATTAATCAATATGAAAAATTACTTTTAGCCCAAGAAATCTCCAACTCAAAACAGCTCAGCTTTAACTTCTAGATTACTTATCTACAGTTTGCACATTCATTTTATTTAAATACCAAATAAAAATTTGATTTATACAAGAACATTTAGCTGTGGTATTGATGGCACTATAACTTCTATTGAATCACTGATACAAATCATTTGAATGCAAAGACAGACGATTATTTTCATTATCGATTCATCAATTAATCATTTTTCTGTGAAAATGTTTGTTACAGTTTCAGAGTCCAAAGTGACGTCTTAAAATGCCTAGTTTTCTCCGACTAACAGCACAAAATCCAAAGACATCCAGTTTGCTATCATTTATGACAAAGAAAATAATACAATTTTCATAGTTAAGAAGCTGGAACCATCACATATTGGGCTTTTTTTTTATAAAGAAGTGATTATCTGATTACCAAAATAGGTACCAAAATGGTCTTTCAATTCTTTTAATCAGAACTGGGGTTCAGCCCACCAGTGATCTATCTGATTGCACATCAGCTTGTTCAGTTTAATAATTATCAAATTCAGTGATAGCACTAAAATCTCAAACCTTCTTGGAGGCCAGGTGATAAAAAAAAACTAGTCTGAGTTAAAGATGAAATAAAACGGGAGGTTTGAAGGAAAAAGGTTCCCTGTGGCTGGAAACAAGTGAGCAGGAAATAAAAGTCAAGCAGGTGTTTGCTAAAAATGCTAAAAACATTTTGTATCAAACTGGGCTGAAGATTGGCACCACTCTATTCTTATCTCACTCATTCTCAGCTCTGCACAGCAGGAACAAACACAGACTGTGGTCAACAAGCAATTATAGAGGGGTAGAAGGGTTTCTGTTGCAAACATTTTTTTATTTCTTGAGATTAGGACAAAACAGGTGAAATAAGAAATGGATAAAAAGCAGACGTTTCCATGATTGAGCAAATAGGATGAGTTTCACTCGTTAGTTTTACTTTTTCTCTCTCCGAAAATGCACATGTCGCTGCCACTAGATTCTACCTAATTCAAAAATGTGTATCTATTCCTTAAAGGTTCGGTGTGTAGGATTTAGCATCTAGCAGTATAACTGCAGATCACATCTCCCTCGCTTCACCCTGCCCCTTCCAACCAAACTACGGTGGCTGCAAAACGCTCCTATCTAGAGCCAGTGTTTGGTTTGTCCCTTCTAGACTACTGTAGAAACATGCTGGATCAACATGGCGTAATCATATGGAAGGCGCGCAATGGTGGCTGTAGAAGATCATTCTAAGGTAACAAAAATATAATCCTAAATGTTACACACTGGGCCTTTAACACAATCATCAAATGTCTTTTTTTTTTTCATTTATAACACTCTGGACTTTTTTGTAATTTCTATTCATATTATTTGATAATTTCATGTATTTCTGCACATAATATATCATGTAATTCTACTTTGTAGATAATAAATATACTCATACATCCTGCATTCAAGGATTTAGTTCTACAGTGGATAATAAATCAATGAACAGAAGATACAAATGAATACAAACATCTTAATTTTGCCTTTTAGAATTTACGTCTTTTGTAGAGAGTTTAAACTGCTTTACTAATCTTACTATAGTTCAGTGAAATTGCACTGTAGTAATCATGCAGCTATAATAATAACTCTTTCCATCAGGAAATGTAATCTCCATACAGAGGTTGTGGCCCCTGAACCTGTGTCCGACAGGCCGTTCATTCATCTATCCATGTCCACATCTAACTGTATTACAATGAAGTGATGTAATGCTGCTCTCTAGCTCCCTCTTCTGGATAAACGCATCACTGTCAGTGCAGAAGGAACACAGCTGGCTTCTGCATGCAAAGACTGACGATTATTTTCATTATCGATTCATCAATTAATTGTTTTTCTGGAAAATGTTAGTTACAGTTCAAAGAGTCCAATGTGACGTCTTAAAATGCCTAGTTTTCTACAACTAACAGCACAAAACCCAAAGACATCCAGTTCACTATCGTGTATGACAAAGAAAATAATAAAATGTTCACAGTTAAGCAGCTATTTTTATTAAAAAAAAATGTATTTCCAAAACAGTTGCATTTTAAAATTTGTAAAAACTAAAATAGCGGCATTCCCACTCTTTGCTCTCATGCTCTCAGCATATGAGAGGAGACGAATAAACAGCAGCAATGGAAAGTACATGTATAAACTCCTGAATGCCTTATGAGTCATTCACAGTCCACTGCTCAGCTCCATCTGTGTCTGGATAGACAGAACAAGGGAGAATATCCATACAACACCCCTCACTCCCTCCCATTTAATAAAAAAATTCTCTCTCATGCTCTCTGAGCGTCTTTGACTCCTCACGCTCTACAACTGTGTGTCTACAGCTTGTTTTATCTTCAGAGCGTGCCGGTTGATTAATGAGCAGCGAGGAGATAGAGAGGGATAGGCAGGAGGATGGAGAACTGTGGCAAACAAAGTTGATGTCAGAAGCATTAATGTTTCTGCAAACTTTGACTTTGGCTCTGTGAGTCAGGGCGTAAAGAACACACAGACACTTTTGTGACACACTGATATTAGACAAACGATAGAAAAAAAAACACAGCCGCTGACGTGATGTCAGGACCAGTAATTGAATGTAGCTACTCCTCCAGGACGACAGGAGATAACAGTTTCTGAGTTTTGTACGCTGAGCAGTCTTGTGTTTCTGTTTTTACTGTAAAATAAGGACAATTGTTAATCACTTTGGCATCACTCTGTGTTTTTTCCTGAGATTTTGTGTTTGTGTTTCAGTAGATGGTGCTTTTTTTCTCTCTTCAGTGGGACTTGGAGCAGTTTCTACTACAAAAATGTGAAAAAAATGGAGGAGTTCCCCTTTAACATGTGCTTTCAATTAGTTAGTATGGAGGTCAAATAAATCAAATTACTTTAAAACTGTTAAATCTTGCACATGGATCAGAATTTGTTGCTGGGAAATACCATTTTTAATACAGCGTGTGTTAAATAGTAAAACTTATACAGAACTGTGCGTGCGGCCTGCGTTTCCTCACATTCTACCCTATAATAGATTCACTGAGAGCGGTGGGTGGACTGATGATATGAGAATAAACAAAAAAACAATTTTTGTGTGTCAGGTGTGGGTGCATCCATTCACTGAGTGAGTCACAGTTTGCAGCTGAGCAGGGAGAGCTACAGTACGTAAGTAAGAGATGAATCTTGATATGGTTACATCACTCTGCTGCTGCTACATTTAAAGCTTTCCCTAAATAATCAAATTCAGCCAAGGGGAAGTTAATGTTTAAAGGATGCAGGTCTTTTTTCCCTCGCCTGCTCAACTGGCAGCAGTGGACCCACAATCTGTTGCGGTACTCGCTTCATCGCGGCCGCCCACACGCTGCTGTTGTCTCTCTGAGTGCTCCTGAGAGCTTCTCAGAGCCGAGGTGAAGCGCGAGAGGTGGAGTGTGCCATGAAGGGCTATTGCCGCTGCTTATCGGGACCGCAGATCAAAGGATTATGGGTATTAACAATGTGTTGGCTTCATCACCAAATGAGAGCGGCGATGAGATATTGGCAAGAGAGTCAGCTGGCTGTGGCACTCTAATAACACCGACAGGCATAATAGCAGCTCTTCAAAGCAGAGGGTCAGGATACTTTGAAAATGACAATGACCACTTTTAAAATTTTCCTCACCATCCTCTTCATCTCCTTGGAGACCTGGTTGCCGCCCAGATGGTTGTAGAATGGACGGTCGGTCCAGTGGCCGCTGTTGTGGGTGACAGAATTGGTCCTCTGTCGGTTCATTTTGGCTATCATGGCCTTTTCCTCTTTCTGTAACAAAGATACAGAATATGGGTATTGAGATATATTCATTACATGTTGCAAAACTCACATAAACTCACAAAAGATAGAAAAAAAGAAAGATTATTTTCAGTTCGGCAACAACTGATTGAGCTGACAATCTTCCATCTACTGGACCATAATGATTTTATACTATAAGCTATTTTCTTGTACTTCACATGAGTATTAATATGTTGTGCTATTTTGCACTTTTTACCCCCTCTGCATTTATTTGACAGTGATAGTTAAAAAAACAAACATTTTGTCTTCTTTCATACAAGTGGAAAGAAAACGTCCAAAATACACATTTAGGAGTTTATTTTAGCACTTTGTCTATTTGCATCTGTATATTTTTCCTTAATTCCCAAAAAGTTAAAAAAGGTAAAATTAGGTAATGATCATTTGCATATTTAGACAAAACACCTAGAAAAACAAAAACTACAAAAATAATTGTCTTAATGTAAGTTATCAGCTAGGGTTTATGTTAGTTAAGTATGTAGAAAAAAAAACATTCTTCTTGCTGATTTGTTGTTTGTTTACTTATTTGTTTATGTATGTCACATTGAGGCCTGAGTATTAAATTGAGACTCCTGGTACTATGTTAGTAGTAGCAAGTATTTGTTTCAATGCAGGACTTATTTCTAATTTTCTTAAAGATTTGATTACTTCCATCACTCTCCACCTTTATTTCAGTGACTAGATATTGTATTACAGAGCTGTCAGATTCATAACTGTGACTTGGTTAGAAGATACAGACACTCTTTATTGTACATTTATAAAGCCCTTCAAGAAAAACAGCCTATATATATCTTGCATCACCTCAACAGTATAGAAAGAGTTGACTAGAGCTCAGCATTGGCTTATTTTGGAGGTTCACACTTACAGAACCAGGACTGGGGGAAAGAAGCAATTAAAAGTGTTGCTGCACTCAGATGGAATAAGCTTAAAGCTTTACCGGGATCTAAAATTGGATCACCTGATAAGGTTGTAATTGGGCCCCACCACTGACAGTACCTACCGTCATACAGTGTAGCTTCACTGAGTTGAAACAATGTGATACACAATACAGAAAATACAGTAAAGCCTTGTCTTTGGAGGTTTTGTCCCATATCTTTTTGTAGTTTCTATATTGGAAGATTTGATGGGATCATATTTGTAATACTTATTGCTATTGAAAAGATAATTGCAATGTGTCTTCCCAGAAACACTGTCTTTGTTACTCATGATGCCTCACTGTCAACCGTTCTAATTAGGACTTTTTCTGCAGTAGAAAGTAGTTCCGGTGTAAGCTGTCCACAGCGGGGTCTATGGGTCAACCAGGACATCGTTTCTGAAAAGGCAAGTTACTGTTATATACCATAAATGTCTTATTTAAATGCTGTGAGCATGATAAATGGAATTTTTTTCACCTTCATTGTATTTGGGAGGAAGACATCTCAGAGACAGACATTTTCAATCAAAGTTAAAGTAAAAAAATAAAACGATCTGCGTGACTACATATAACAGGCAACAGGTAAGAAGAAAATGTATTTTTTAATTTAGGCAATCTGATCCTTTAATATCACTGAAATAATTCCCCTGTTCTCTATTCTTAATGTAAAGTTCTTCTGAAACAGCTGTATCATGCTAGAACCTTTCATTCAAAAGGTGAATATCGTTAGCTTCACCAGCGATCTTACTTTGAGGTCATAACGGCCTGTTCCTGGCGTCTTGTCTCAAGAATAATGTTTTTTTTCCCCAGCAGGACATGATGACAACAGGTCAAATCCAAAGCAGCAGTAAACAAACATAGATGGCCATAGTAAAGAAAGAAAACCTCCTCCTACTGCAGACACCAACTTTAAACATATACTTACTCATCATACTGTGAGAAGCAGTAAATAAAAGCATCCACCTACTTTAATGCGGTATTTTTATGTTGAGAAAAAATAATTGCTTCGAGTGTTGTGTTAAAAGATTGTTTCTGGAGATACCATCTGCAGCTCTTTTATTTCTTACAGATATGATATTAGAATGGCGCACTGGCTCTAGGATGTGTTTTTCAAAAATAAAAATATAAAAAGTAACCAAAATAATGAGACTGTGTACAATCCTCCTTCTGTCTCACAGCAGGAGCAGCAAAATGAGAGGAAGATATCACTTCACATGACATGCTATCTATAGTCACAGCTTGTGATCCTGCTGGAGGACAGAGACAGCTGATTAAAGCAGTCCAGTCATAAACAAACTGGAGCTCATGCAGTGAAGCAGAGATGAACTCGTTTCTCTCCGAAACACAGTTCACATGGGACCCGGTTTATAAACAATGATATGTACAATATGGACTGGTGGCATGTTCTTTTTAAAAGATAGCTTAGATAGGAACAGCATTTTAATTTTGCTTATGATGATGTATCAAAATGTCATGTTCTTATCTTCAGAATAATTCAGCACCCACACATGGATGGTCTCAGTGGATTTTTTTGTGCATGTGTACCATCGGGCCTCAGCTCATAAGGCTCATTGTTTTTCACTGTTAATGATTTTTTACCAAAAAGTGCACATTTTTGAAATGCAATAGATAGTTTTTACACAGTTTCTAACCATCAAAAAGTTGTCTGTTGCTAGTGTTTTCAGCACATTTTACAGTATCACAGGGCCTGCAGTGATGAGGACAGTGAAGGTGAAAAGAGAAATTTAGGAGGATTGCAAACACTTCTGTTTATGTGCTGAATCAGACTCTGAAATCTCCAGAAGGCTAGCACTATAACTCGCATCTAAATAATGCCTTTTTTAATTTTATCTTTTAAATCATTCTTGCTTTTCTTCCTGTTTTTACCCATTAACATTCAAAACTGACCACACCCTAAACAGACAATAAACTAAAAATATTTTCTCTAAATCTAGGAATGCAGCTTTAAATAAAAGACATTAAAATAATAAGAGCTAAATATGGTGTATCTTTTTACATGTATCTTTTACACTTGGGCCTTTGCAATTTCAGACAAAACGGTTGACCGACCGTACCCTTTTCTGACTGCAGCCCACAATGAGGTAGGTTTCTATGTCGTTCTTCTTCAGGTAGGCGTTTCTTTCTCCCCCTGCTCCCGGCTCCACATCGTAGTCCCCATTCAGATAATTCAGAGTGGCCTTAGTGATATGGATACGTCTAAAAGTTCAAATAACACAGATACCACATAAATTTTCATTATTCAGATACTCTATATTCAAACAAGAGCACAAAATTCTGTAAAGCGGTCAATTTTAAGTTGACTATAACTGGAGACACATACCCAGCTTGGCCGCCAGCCTCCATCTGATTGGCTAGTGTGACGTCATTGGACCAGACGTCAAACTGCCACTTCCTGAGTCCCAGCACCCCACAGTGCACCCTGCCGCTGTGGATGCCCACTCGCATGTTCACATTCACCCCAGTCACCTCCCGTACCAACCTGCAAAAAACATTGAAAATGATGGGGACCGATTTTGGAGTGACAAAAATAATCATCTGTAAAATTACTGTTTAGAATTTTGCCTACATCTGCTGAGGTATCCTAGAGTACAGTACAGGGATCCCTTTCTGACTAGATTCTCTTGTTGATTAAGTTTCCATAGGCGGTGCTTTTTCTATGCAGCTTGAACAGCTTTAACAGCTAATCAGTTTCAACCAATGAAGATTGCTACTGGTTGAATCACCTGCTGTATGTCTACTGTCGGAAATAGCATCGCCTCAACAGCTTCTGGATTATGAATCCAACGTTGGGGTCGGGTCCCATACAGACCCTTACTACTCTGAATAGCATCAGTGGATACAGAAAATGGACAGCTAGATGAATTAATAGAGGGCAGGGAATAATGCTAACAGAGCAGAGTGAGGCAGATCAGCTGTGACCGATTAAAAACCTGGGACACTGTTGGAAAAATACTGAGGAGCGGGCAGGCCCTTCAGTACCAGACATCAGCCCAGAGCCTTAAACTGTAACTGTAACACTGATATTGGGTGACAGTTTGACTTTGTGATCATTTACAGGAGCTGATTGAGATATGAAAAAGAGCAGGAACACCAGCGGTTTGGATGTAAAACAGCAAAATATCCTTGAATAACAAGTGATGTTATTCATTACTGCTCCCACTGCTCATAAATAATTCCCATGAAATATAACTAAAACTGGATCTGGAAATCATCCATTCATCCACCAAGGGCTTTTCCCAGCGACTGTCCAGCTGCTGCAGATACTAACCATTTTACATGTTTTTTTTAATACCGTCACACGCTAACCAGCGATACCCTGTTAACCCCAGGGGCAACTTACGAGATGGCCTCTATCATGTCCATCCCCATCTCCACACAGCAGTGGGCGTGGTCGGCCCTCGCCTCTGGCAGTCCAGACACACAGTAGTAGCAGTCTCCCAGGATCTTGATCCGCAGACAGTGGTTCTCCTGTCAGGAAAGAACAACTTACTGGAAATGTCCACCAACTCATCATTTAATGTGATGGGTTACATAATGATTGGATACAATAAACTGTACAGCTTGTTCTGTTTATACACCACAGGTTCATTCATTCTTTACTAATATTGGCTGTCGTAGGCGGTGGTGTGGGACCTGGGATTTTTAGTATGTGTTTACTGTCTGTGTGTTCCTGCATAATTGTGTACTGAGGACCATTGTGCGTACATACAATAGTATGTTCTACAGTCCAACCGTGAAAAAGCATTATTATAATGATTTAACTGGATCAATGCAGCTGGAACGATGTCTTCCAACCACTCTTCGTGTTAAAATAGTGGCTTAGAGCCATGAATGTTCTCTTCCCTGCCAGTAACAACCTCAGCACTTTAAGCATGAAACAACTACTTGCACATATCAAGGATATCCTTAAAACAGGTTTCAATGATTCTGTATGGTTGGCATTTTCCACCTCAAAGATAATATACTTGTAAGAGGAATTGTTGCTCTCCTTATGTATATTATAAATCTAGAATAAATGCTATTTTATGATGAATTAACCGTAGTTCTGTCTGTTTAATTAGGCTAGAATTCACCCTTTTCCCAGGAAACGGATGTTATATTCCCAGGTAAGTAAGTCGTAATTGTACGTACTTGTTTCTCAGACTCTCAGTATAAACAACTCAAAGCATTATTTTCATATCAACAATGCATCAAATGACGTGAAGCTCATAGTGATGAACCCACAGAGAATTATTACCTGACTCTGCCACTGTAGCCACTGCATGCTACTTGCCCAGCACCAAATGTCAGTAAGTTACAGTATGCTGATAAGTTTACCTTATCAACGTGATTAGATTTAAGTGTTGTGCATTCAGCCACAGAGCTGATTCTTTGCACCTTCAAAATGCTGAGAAGAGAAGAAGCTGTATTTGCTACAACAAGACACTGTAACATGAACACAGAAAGCAGGATTTCTACAGTAGTTGCATCTTAGCATGGATTTGACACATTAAACACATAAAAGACCTATTAGCACCGTGTGGGATGACCATAATATGGTGTGTGTGTGTGTGTGTGTGTGTGTGTGTGTGTGTGTGTGTGTGTGTGTGTGTGTGTGTGTGTGTGTGTGTGTGTGTGTGTCTGTAGGGCTTGGGAGAACACTGTGTCTCATGATAGCCACCTGAGTATCTCTCTAGCACATGGCTCTGGGAAAATACAAAAAGACCCACTGTGTAAAGAGCATAGACAGAGAACGTGTGTGTAGTGCGTGTGTGTGCATGTGTATACACAGATACAAGGTACATCTGGCATGGACATTAAAGTGTCAGTAGCAACGTTTCTGGTTTATAATGCCATTATGCCTGTTTCACTTATAAATATTGATTAGCTCATATTTTCACCTTTCATAAACAAATGGCATACATCGAGCATTAGCTGGACAAACAATCGTGGATAAGAAAAAGCAAATATTAATATTCATGAATGTGCCATTTATGAAGCTGTGGTTCAGATGTTACAAATGTGCTATAAACACGTCTGGCTGTAGGATATTGATGGCAAATATGATGTAGATAGTTTGGATTGACCCTCTAAATGCTGGAACATGTGCATAATGTCTGTATTTGTGTTTGCATTGAATGATGATGATTTTTTTTTTATTTATGTATTATAAAACTGTATTTTAGCTGTCTTTAAGACACTTTGAAATGCTAAGAATGATGCTGAAGAGTTTTATCTGTAGTTTTTAAATTTAGTAAGTGACCACATTAAAATAAGGATAAAAAAAAGTACACAATAACCAGCTCAAGATGACAATGCATCTTTCTTTCTTTATTTTGGCCTTCCATCCACCATTTCACATAAAAACTGAGCTTACAGTGTGGACATCTGAAGTGGATGGTTCCCAATTGTCTTGAAGAATGAATATTCATCCTCAGATTATTTTATTTAGAGGCCTGGACAGTAGAAAGAGAGTAAAATGATCTAATAATTCATAGGGACAATCTCGTTAGATAAATCTCTTATTTAACGACTCCTTGGGTGGATCCAGACCCCAGGTTTGGAACCACTGGTCTAAATGAAACAGGACCATCTGACATGAGTATCTCTGATATGAACTATGCTATTGTTAACCAAATATTTCACAACCTTAGAGCTGTGTTGGGTTTGACAAACTAGATGCTGAGCATGAGAAGGTGTTTTGTAAACCTGCCAGTGAGGAACTGCAGTCAGTATTCAGTCAAATCTGACATTGTCCACACAGGCTGCATCAAGTCCATTGCTTTGCATTGAGAGCTCCATTCATTTTTAATGGAACAGCTTGTTCCCCTCCTGGTTTAGCAGTTGCAGTGTATTTCATGTGTGCTCCATGATTTTTCTGATCACTGTCTCAGCACCTCGTCTGCCAACTTGTATTTAAAATATTACGCTGATCACACTTTTGAAAGACAAGAACGATGTCATGGATTATTTCAGCTCTACTGTATATTACCAGTGTTTTAATAATACATCAAATATTCAGACAGTTGAGATGGTATAAATATCACAAATGCCTCAAGGTCTTATTTTCTGTGCAGCTACTGCTTCTTGATCCATGTGCTTCAAAACAGCTTTTCCTCTTCTAGTCCTCCTCATGTACAGGAGCTTGAAAAAAAGCCTCAAGCTTTAGAGAGACTACTCCTCTAGTCCTTCTCATATACCATATGACCTTCATGGAGTCCATGCTGCTAACTAATCCTCAGTGCATATTCACAACGTAATTCAGGCTTCAGGTTTTATCTGATCGTCAAACTCAGAAACACTCAGAGGTGAGCCTTGAACAAGGAACATCATGCACCAACTGATTCACCATTACACCATGAGGACAATTACCAGCGTTCGAAACACAGTATACTGATGAGAGTGTCCAGCCAGTCTACATGCATCTGTGTGCACACGTTAAGTTAGTCAGATTCCATTGCAACCACAGGTTAAATAAACCCACCAGACTGCAGGAAATGCAGGTTAATTGGGAACTATTTGCTGTTGTACAGTCCTTCACTACCATTTTAGTCATTATGTGCAGGATGTTCAGTGAGCCTATTGAGGTGAAAAACTTGAGTACCCTCAATAACTGAGTTATTCACCTCATCCAGAGTCATTAGAAGGAAGAGGTTCACCGGAAATGTGATCAGGCTCATCTGTCCTCCAATCTGATGTCACACATAAGTGTAACTGTGTATATTGGGTGTTAATTTCACAAGTAACACCCAAGATAACACAAGAGCTTGCCAGAACAATCCCTGTCCTTTTGTTATATGCGAATTGTTGAATTATTTCTATGTATTGTAATATTTTCTGCCCATTGACAATAATCAATAATTTACTAGCTTGCTATCTTAATAAGCGCTGTTGACATTTTAATTTGCAATGAATTGCGATTATTCTGTGGCCTTTACATACAGTATATGTGTGTGATGGCATTCTTACCGCTGCCAGCTTGTCAAAGCGGGCGAAGAGTTCATTAAGAGTCATCACCAACTCCTGTGCTGTGCACTGGGATGCCAGACTGGTGAAACCCTCGATGTCTGCAAATAAGATGCTGTAGAAACACAAAGACAAGAGAAACAGAATTCAATATACTTCTTTTCACCTGCCAGCAATGAGCTTTAACAGGAAGGCATAACCCATGGGAGCTTCAACATAAAGGACCAGTGTGTAGGATTTAGTGGTATCAGTTATGTTCCAAATTGCAACTAACTGAACACCACTCACATCTGTATTTGAAGACCTAGGAGCCAGTGTTTGGTTTGTACATTCCGGGCTACTGTAGACACATTTTGGTTCAACATGGTGGACTATAGAAGGCAACCAACAACGTCTGTACATAAAAACGGCTCATTCTAAGATAATGAAAACATAACAACTCCTATATTCAGGTGATAATACACTAATAAAATATACAAATTAATATTATATTCCATTTCTGCCAACAAATCCTGGACCTTTGGACCTTGATTACAGAGGCAAAACAACTGTAAATGTTCTACATAGAAGTATAAAATAAACAGCTATAAAAATCCAAGTGAGCTACATGCAGGTTCACCTACATAAAGCCTAGAGAAACATAATTCTAACCTTATTCCACTCATTTGGTTGCTAGTGCAACAACAACATCATGATCCCTCACCGCCTTCCCACATGTGAACACAATCAATTATGTTTGTTTGCATACTTAGCCAAAGCCAAAGGCCTACTGGAAATCAATTCCCTGTGCCAGGCCAGGTCAACATTCTTCAGAGTCCTCTGAAGAGACCAAAAACAAAACTTATGATTCCAGCAAACCATCTCATCCAACAAAAGGTGCCATTACGTTCCTTCACTGCAATCAGCGCTGTGAGAACAGTCTTTTCTAAAAACAACTCAGCAGCAAGTGCATGTTTGATGTCTGGTGCACAGAAAAAAGACTCTGAGATTGGAACCTGCTGGCCAGCTTTCCTCCAGCTGCTCAGGTTTCTTCCCACAGTCCAAAGACTAGTTACACTAAGTGGCGGCTCTAAATTGCCCAGTGGTGTAAATGTGAGTTTGAAAGGCTTAATCTTTCCAAGGTCTACCCCTTCTCTTGACAAATTACAGCTGTCATCTAAGATTTCTTCCTGAAAAGTGTACCTGCTTTGCGACAGCCCATAAAATACTTGATGTCAAAACTCATAAAAAAGAAACCATTACCAGCCTACACCAGACGAGAGCTTAATACAGGAACTGCAAGAGGTACGGGAGGGGGATTAAATGACTCCGGTCAAGATGTTCCACTGAAGCCATTGATGGAGGTGAAAGGTGTGAGATTGTACAAAGCTTCTTCAAGCACAGTCATGTCTAAATGTAATACAATGTAATCTGTACCGGATATAGCAATTGTGCTAATGAGGACTGGCAAAATAGCATGAGAGAGAGTGAGTGTGATGGACAGAGAGAGAGAGAGAGAGAGAGAGAGAGAGAGAGAGAGAGAGAGAGAGAGAGAGAGAGAGAGAGAGAGATACCTAATACATTTGCAAGTAACTTTACACTTCCTTTCCCTGAGAACAAGGTAAACTGATACAGCAAAGGTCTTTTGTGATTGAGGCATTTTCATTACGCTCCTAACACTGGCACAACAGCAGGACAGATGATCTCATCGGGCTGAATCATTTCTGTCAGAGAGAAACAAGGACAAAGGGACCAGGCTGGCAGGTAGAGACAGTAATAGGCTCAGCATTAGTTGTGGGAGACAGATAAAACCCACAAGCTTGTCTTGAATGGCTCAAGTTGTTCTGTGAAGCATCATTACCCTCCACCACACAAAGTCACATCTCGCGCTTGACATTTCTTTCTTCAATAAGCATATTTATTCTCTGGTCACTGGTTCCCTCCTGGGGTGAAACATGTGACGAACTTCATAAGTCAAACTCAGAAGGCAAGACCAGCCTTGTATCTTTTGCTACTGAATACTGCTTAACACTGTCTTCCTTGGAGCAACTTTGACAATGACTCACCTGAGCTTGACTCAGTGCCCTGTGGGATCTCCAGTGATTAAATAAACTTAAACTAACCTCCCAACTTAATCTGCTATCCTAATTTTGCAGTGTGAAAACTTGATTAGAAGGGCTACGTTAACAATAGTTGGTGGACAACCCTGTACAGTTGTCTACCTTTGGTCTGGAGCAGTTTGCAGATCAATCGGCTATAAAACCAAGTAGCTCATATTATTTAAACGGAGCACTGTCTTAATTCAGGCAAAACAGGCCGTTGATCTGCGTCAGCTGACTCTTTCAATCACACTTGCACAAGTTAACATGGCAGTCATCATAATCTGACAATATTCCCTCACTCTGATTATTCATGCCACGGCTGCTCTTATGCATGCTGCTTAGTCCCACCAGCTCCTCCACTGTAAGATTATTGTGATTCATACTCATAAATGTTCTTTAAATTACTGTGCCAGAGATAGCTCAGAGCTAATTTTCTTTAATTTAATACACAGGAAAATCTAAAATTCACAAAGCTCAAAAGACAAAGCCCCCCAATACCGTACAACAATGATACTAAAAGGGCTTTTTATCCAATTTTCCATACCGCCTTTGTACAAACACTGAAGTGATTAAATGACTGTTTCTTTAAACTGTCCCTAAGATCTAACTCAATAGGAAAACTGGGAATGGATCATAGCGTACATATCGTAAAATATCTTGGCATCAGAGTAGAAAGACAATTTCTTATTTGTCTTAAGTTTTCAATTAAAAGTCTTACTCTCTGTCTAAGTCTTTCTAACAGGAGATTACGGCATACCATTTATATTCAGGAACTATATGCTCCATCCCTTACCCCTTGACAAGAATATCCGAAATAGCTTAACTATTAGCATTAGCATTTTTATGTCTACAGCATGACAATCTTTAACTATAAACTATTGTAACTGATATAGGGCCAAACACTGATGCTTGTGGCACACCTATTACGCTCTTTTTATTACTATATTCTCTTAATATGAAGACATCTAGGCCAGTAATGCAGTACGTGTATTTCTTTTCTTTTTCTTTTGCCTTTATTTGGATAGTAACAGCCTGCAGATACAGGAAACTGGGATGGGGGGAGAAAAAGGGGATGACGTGCACAAAGGGGAAGCAGGTTTACCACATATTTCATTTTGTAATGCAGTTTGCCGTACCACTTTCATATTGTATTTAAATTGCATTTTTATCCATGAGTTGCATCACTCTTCCTGCAAAAAACATATTTTCTTAAAGTAGAATGAGCCATCCATGTTGCATTCATAGCTGGATTAGAAAATCCCGGGTTAACAGAGGCATCTGATATGTAATAACGTAATAACAACTAGCCAAACAGTATTGTCATTGTTTTGATTTTGATTGATTTTGTGAAACAAGATACTGCAACATTTTCCTGACTATGTACAAGTGGCTTTCTGAGTCAGACCCCTAGGAAGGACAAGAGAGGGCTATAAATAAACAAAGGCTTCAGACCAAACAAGCTCACATGAATCTCACAGGGTAGGTGCCTGCTACACAGCCAAGAACATGGTGTGTTTGTGCAGTATGTGTGGGCAGGGTGTGCGGGTGTTTATCTTCATATATGCACATACAAAAGTGTGAGTTTGTATTCTGGGTATGTGACGTTAATTTTGTCTGAGTGTTTCGGCAGGGTTTTTCCAGAGTTCACAGACTTTTACTCTTGGCTGCCCACATGTCAAGAGCACTAACATGTTCTAATGAACCTAGGTTTCAAGATGCCTAAATTTCCTCAATTTGGGCCTCAGGCTGAAAAGGATTAAGAGTCCCCACTCTGGGGTACACATTTCTGGGAATAATTGATTGTTTTCTGTGAACTGTTACGTGGGAGGTCGAGTGAAACCAGACACTTGACCAGTGTGTCTGAGCTCAGAGACGGGTCTGTCTCACTGGGTAGAAGCAGTGATGGTCAAAGAGGAAAGAGGAAAAGAGATGGAAGGATGAAGCAGAGGGAGAGGGAAGGTGGACATGCTCTAGAAAGACTGAAGGCAAGTGTGGTTATTACTTCCAAATCACAGCACACTGACTTGTGCCTTGGCATTAAACCAACATTAGTTATTATGTACCCCCATGTGTCTAAAGACAACTGGTTACTGGACTTAAAAATTCCAATTCATTCCAATGAAAGTTGTTCACCCAGAACCTTGTTTATCTCAATCATCTCAGATGTCTGCCAACAGTCTCACTGTTACCTCTTATAGAAAGTAGTCTATGGGGACAATGCAAGCAAGTGGAATTGCTGTGCCATATCAACTGCAGCAACTCCAATAAAGACACATCTTCCAGTGAGGTACTGTGTGTTTACTGAACTACAGTCAGAGAGCTGAAACTGGTAAAACCCTTGATTGGACTGAACTTAGGATGGGTTCATTTTGTGGCTTATAAATTTAACTTTTCCTTGCAGGGCAACAAATATGCCATTTATTTATTCAAAAATTAAATGCACTCACTTAAAAATGTGTGGTTTTTCACAAGGGATTCAGGCAGAGTAGGGCAGATCATTTCATGATTCAAGAAAACATATGTATGTTTGAAAAATATAATATATATAAATATATTTTTGCAGTGTAAAAGCTAGATCATGCTCTCTGTCTTAGGATGAAGCTATTTATAGTCAAACACATAATGCACAGATTTCCTGATGGATTATCAATCCCTCCCCAATGACACAGTGAAGCAGAGAGCAAGGCCACTTCCCACAGCCTGATGTAACATCAGAGGCGACAGTGGGTGGTGAGCTACAAAAGCAGCAGAGTGAGAGAGGGTATGAGAAAGAGACCTGAGGTCTTTAAGTCCCATTTAATCGTTACCTTGGTGATGAGTTACTCGTTAGTACGCAACATTAAATCCTTTCGTAAGTGACAGTGACTGCAGAGGAAATCCTGCACTGAGAGGCACTGGAGTCTCACAGGGGAAAGATGTCAGACATTGTGTTAGTTTGCATCTGATGACGCTGCAATGGGTTAACATGAACACAGTTTGTTTGATGCTGCGTCCTTCTTTGAACCCACAAGGATTTAAGGCAATCATTTCCCCA